ATGTAATGTAAGGCGTATAATATCAGGATATAACATACTCAGGTTCAGTTTTTACGTGTAAATATCACTGATAATTATTAATTATTATAAATCCAAACTTACGCGCGGACGGTGACTCCGCCGTCTCATGTAGCGATTTAAAAAAGTAGGTAGATAGCTACAGCTGTTCGCGTGATACTTAAACACAAAATAATTTTATCTGTAAGACGGTTATAGGTTACCGTTCGGACAGTACGAGTGATGTACGAAAGTATAGATGCCTTTTTCCTGAAAACGGTTTTAAAATGTCAAATAATTTTGAATTAATAGAGTAGACCTGTCGTTTGTCGATTTATTGAATTGAAGATTTTTTTTTTCGTTATTCAATCGAACAGTTGGTCTTGGCTATGATCAAACCATATTAAAATATTAGCCAAATGATTAAACTTATCGAACTCGTATGACAGTACTGCCGAAAGGACGATGTACGCGATGTGTTATCGCAGTGGTCTTGAATAATGCTATTATGATTGGGATAACGGATCGAACAGTGTAATTTGCATATTGCCCGATGAGCGCATAACATATATGCCTGACCTCAACAAACTTCGGTAATTTTACCGAGAAAATTAACCGCCGGAAGAGGTGAAATATGTTTAACAAATCGCCGTGGCTAGCAGTAGGTATAGCCCGGCGGTACCAGCGGTACGCGCGCCGTCGACGGCGTGGCCCGGGTAACTTGACGACTCTGATGGCGATTTGATCGACAGCGAACGTTTTGTACGGTGTAAAACGGGTCACCTTGGATTGAACTATTGGAATTAAAACGTCAGCAGTGACGACGCGGCGGTTTTCGGGCGCGGGACAGGTGCGCGACACCGTCGGCGACCGGATGCGGACATGGCGATTGGCGACAGGCAGTTCATAATGATAATATTATCATGCGCGACTGCTGTTCGGCTGTCCGCCGACCACATTTCTTACGCTTTGGGCTCTCGCGGCGGCCGAGTAACGCCGTCGTACCGGTGGCCACCGATTCCGCATTTCCGCATTTCCGCATTACTCGCGTAACTATATGCTTTATCATCGCCCACAATATCGCCGAATGTATCTATAAGCGGCGCCCGTCAAGCGGTCGTCACGCACGGTTTAAACGCGCGGTTGCGGCATACGTCCGCGCCTTACCGTTCACGCGAGCGTGCATATTCCGAGATGACCAGTGACCGGGTATACCTTGAACCCGATCACGTCTGCTGCAGATATCTGTTTTCGTCATTCATTATACCATCGATTATATATAGACATATAGTACTTATAACGATAGGTACTAATATTTATAGTCAATGATTATACTTTTACGACGTATCTATATACTAATGAGATGACATACATACGAAAAGTAATGTCGTACTAAACAAAAAAATAAAAAAAAACAAACGACTAAATTATTATTGAGTTAAAAAATAAATAAACCTCAATATCACCAGACCAAACAGGTAAGTTGTAGATGATGGATTATATTTTCATACTCTTATGTTTTATGATACAGAAATAAAAAGTAAAGGGATGCACTCTGATTTATTGTTTTAAATCATCACCGAGGCAAAAACACGTAGACATACGAAAACAAACAATACGAATACAAAAGTTTTTTTCCGTTATAAAATCGAACAATAAGTTGGTCTTAACCACGACTAAACTGTATCAAAATCAACTATACCAAGTACCAACGATTAAACTTATCGAACTTGTATGGAAATGGCAGAGCTGCAGTGAGGACGATGTACGCGGTGTGATGCCGGTGGCCTTAAATATTGTTTACAATCAGGATAACAAATCGCCGTGGCTAGCGGTAGGTACCTACTGGCGCGACCGATCAGGGTGGCATCAGCGATATATATATTGTGTTATCCACGCGCGCGGGCGATGATGCGGCCTGGGTAGCGCCACGACTCTGATAGCGATTTGATTGACGGCGAACGCTGTGCAGGGTAAAATGGGTGACCTCGGAATAAAAATGTCAGCAGTGATGACGCGACAGTTTTCGGGCGCGGAACAGGCGTGTGACATAGTCGGCGACCGGATGCACACGTGGCTATAGGCAGTTCGTTATAATTATTGTGCGCATCTCCGGTTTCACCGTCCGCTTACTACATCTTTTACGCTTTGGACTCTCGCGGCGACCGAGTAACGTCGTCCCGGTGGTCACCGATTCCGCGGCACATTACCCGCGTATACCTACGTCATCGCCACGCGGTCGTCACCACCGCCATCGGCCCACAATATCGCCGACTGTATCCACGCGGCGCCCGTCAAGCGGTCGTCACGCACAGATTAAACACGCTTTAGCGGCATTCGTGTCCGCGCCGTACCGTCCACGTGAGTGTGTATTTCAAGATGACCAGTTACCGTAGGTATACCTTGAACTTAATTACGTCTGGTACAGTGCACTTTGATATGCCTCAGATTTTTTTCTTTAATATTAGGTAAGTTTTCGTTGTACATTATACCTACGTATACAGTGCCGGATTTAACTACTGTGCCGTTGTAAGCACAAAAAAAAAAATTTCTGTCTTTTTAGGTATAAATATAAATTATTTTATTTCATACTTTGATAAGAACTTTTGTTATTTTTGAAATCATCAAAGTATAATATAGTATTGAAATTATAAGAAATAGGTACCTATATTGTTAAAAGGTATATGTATTGGCTTTTTTTTTAAACATTACAAACTATAAATATGAAATAAAAATATAGTATTAATACATGACTCGTGTATTGTATATGTATGGTACAAAAAAAAAATATATATATATATTAAAATGTGTGCTAATAAAAAAGAAAAGCTACTCTGTGGATTGTGGAATAATACATTTTTTTAAGAACGTTAATAATGTAGAATAAAAATATATTCATCTACACACTCAATGGCTTTCAGCGTTATTTCTGAGCTGCAAAAATCGTTAACTACATCATCAAGATTAATTTTGTCTTTATTGCTAATAAATGCAATGATTTAAATCTATTTTTATCCATGCTGTACCTTCAATAGTTCTTGATGTATTTTAATAACTAAAAATAATATTATTATTTCATAGGGTAGGTACTAAGAAAATAATCAAAGTGGCTTCACGTGGAGTCAGTATCGAATGATATATTGATTATCTTAACCTTCATTACCAAAATCTAGTTTAAATATTATAAAAATACCACAAATTTACGTGGCGGCAACTACGTTGGTGATACTGGAAAGGCTCCTGTAATTTTTATCTACAATTTTATTTTAGAAACTTGATGAATAGGTAATTGACATATTTTGAGTTCTGAAAATTTAAAAAAAGTGTAAAGTTTATTTCATGTAATTTGTCTCCAAAAATTTACAGATTTGTAAAAGAAAAAATACCATTAGGTTCAACACAAATTTGCCACCTCTAAAATATTGCCGCTGTAAACCCGTGCTTACTTTGTTTGTTGGAAAATACGCCACTGAATGATATTATACACTTCACAAATCACAACATACACTGTACAGACCAGTCAGACCAAAATCAATTGATTTAGTAATTTATAATAATAATAACTAATATTTTGTGATCAATAAATTAACTAATTAAATACCTATATAATATAATAAAAAATAATCATTTCTTTAGATGTTTTAGATTCTATGGTTACAGTACGGACAACTAAATCAACTTATGAAGAATCTTGTAATAAGTTTTCAAATTTACAAAATAATTTGCTATTTTTAAAAAATGTTGACAAAATCATAAAAAAATTCATAAAATAAAAAATCATATCTATGTATTTTAATATTTTTACACAGATATAATAGAATAATTTTTCGGGATTTTTTTATTAAATTTTCAAGCATTTTTATACAAGCAAATAATTTTTAATTGATAATTATTATAAATAAAAACTAAAAAAATTGAAAATCCTTTTTGCCTATTAAAAGTTTAAAACTAATAATTGAAATTTTCATCGTAAATAAAAAAATAATATAAAAATTTCAAGTATTTACAACAGTTATTTGTTTTTGTGTTAAATCAAAAAACAAAATCGATTTTGTCAAAAATTGGATTTATGTAAAAATTAAAATTTTTCCTTTATTTTTTGTTTATTTTTCCCAATTATTTAAATAAGAACTTGTAATTTTTAAGGCATTTCTAAAAAACAAACTAAATCCAATTTTATATCCATAATTATGTTCTGAAAATCGAAGCATTTTATCTATAACTTATCATGTACTCATATATATATATATAAAAAATAATACATCATGAAAAAATTAATACATGCAACGTTTCGCTCAGAATCTGAAATGTACAAAATATTCAAATTCTTTAGTTCAGGGTTGAAAATTGAATACAATGTTTTTAATAAATAATAAGTCATTAATATTGCTACTAAAAATCTTAAATAAACAATATAATAGATATTTTAGTTTCATTTTTGAAGGAATTTAGATATTTAAATGAAGATTAATAATTTTATTTATTTGGTTTTAATTTTAAAATATAATTTGTGTGTAATTATTTAGCAACTTTAAAAACCATTTCGAGAACCAAATTTTAAATTTATTTATAGTTTTCTCTCTCCACAAATAAAAATTATTATTATATTGTAAATAATTGCCAATTAATTTTTAGTTTTTCCAAATTAATATGTTATTTTTTTGTTAATATTTTATTAGAAAAGTTGAGACTATTGAAGAGCAGTATAAATAAAACTGGCTCTCTTAAAATGGATTTTAACTTTTAGGTTTACAATGACATTTTTAAAGGATAAATATAATATAGTTATAACTCATAAAAATATTCGATGTAAAATAATATGTATAGGTACCACATGAAATTATTGTACAAGTAATCCGCTACAAATTGTTATTTGTTATTCTCTCGTATAGGTATTAATATTGCCTAATAAATTAAATTTAATTCAAAAAAGAACATGCACATACATTAGTACATATGGGTATAAATATATGCCATGTAAAAATGTAAATGTTTGAACAATCTATAATTTTTGTACTTTATATTCAAATAATTAAATTTACTATTTTATAGTTGAAACTATTACGATAGCAATACGCAAGTATTATTGTGAGTGTATGTTAATAAATATGCTTACATATTTAGCCATTGTGTTTTCGTTATTGATGTTTATAGAAGCTGAACAAAGATGGCATACATCACAAATAATATTATCGAAATTATATGATCTGCAAAACGACCATTTTAATGCATTAAATAAATACTTGGATTTGGAGGTAAAACGCTTGGAAGAATTGAAAAAGTAAATATATTAAACTAAGAAAGAAATTTTCCAATATTCTCATTTATTTAGATATATGATTGATATATTTTATAAAGTAAAGAAACACTGTATTTCAAATAAATAAACTATAAATTGTATTTAAGTACATTGATTAGTTGTTTTTTTACTGAATTATTTTAAGTTAACGACGTCTAATTATGAAATTAATTTTATAAATACTATAATATGTTAGTTAATTAATAAATATGAATACTGATTATTTATCATGATATAAAAAAGTTGTATTATCTAGAGTATAATAATATATCATTTATGTTTTTAAATGGTACGTTTATTCATTATTTATAGTATATAATAATAAATTAAGTATATGCATTTTAAAATTAATTTTAACTGCATTATTAAGTTATGTAAACACAGTATACGAATGGCGTAACCACAAAAAAACCAACAAAGACTTTTTATACAATCACTTGGATGTTACTAGACTGATGAAACAAATGCACCATCATTTTTTTAAAATTAAAGATTTGATAGAAAATAAATTATCTATAGAAGGTAATTAAATGTACATGTTTGAATAGATATTATATAAATAACTATACTAAAAAATAAATCATATTTCACAAATACATAAATAAACAGCATTAAAAGAAATTGACGAGCATAAAGATCTTAGTGGTAATCATGTATTGTTAGCGCATCTAGCATTGAGGAGACTACAAATATTTTATGCAATTCCTGCTTCAGACATGTCGGCAGGTAGATTTAATGACAGAATCATTGGCGATCGAATGGATGGTAAGTTATATTTTTCATTTTCAATTGATTATATTCAGTATTTTCATTAATTAGTCAACATCGAATGTATAAATTATTTAGCATGCGAATGCTACGTCATGGCGAAGTATTGTTCAAAGGCAAACGATATGTATGGCGTCATAGAATGGGCTGTTGAAACGTATTATAAATGGGAGAGTGATGGTCAACCAAAATGTGTAGATTCCGATATTTTAAATTTCTACATAGTATCATCATCAATTTATACAGGTGATAAATGTTTGAAAAAAAAATGTAATATCATTAATATTATAATGCTATATTTAAAATTAAAACAAATGTATAAATTAATAAACTTTTTTATTAGCATAAATAGTATAGCTAAGTCATTTTTATGAATATTTTTAATTATTTAAAAAAATTAATAAAATTAATACTAATAATATACTCTCTAGCCTCCGCTTAAAAACTTAAATTACATTATTGTATATGGATAACTAAAAATAAAATAATTTTATAGGATTTGACTTTATGAATTTAATACATATAAATAGATCAACCAATCTTCAAAAAGATACTGACAAATTTTTGCAATATTATCATCTTATAAAAAATGAATTATTTGAATTAGATAAGAAGAGAGCGTTGTATATATTTGAAGTATATTATGTAAGAATAATAATAATGAAACTTACAAATAAAGAATTTAAATTTAATTTGTCGATTTAAAGTATTTGGAAGGAAGAATGTGTGAAAACGAATTTAGATATTTATGTCAACATGGGGTATCACGAACAATAACAAAATACTCAAAATGCAGATATCAAACGAAAAATTCATTTTACCGAATATTGATGCCCTTTAAAGAAGAAGATATTAATAATGAGCCACTTATTAAAATATATCATGATGTATTATATGAAAACGAAATTTTGAGAATTAAAACTATGGCTTCGGAAAACGTAAGTATAGTATAGCTTAAATAAATGACTGTTATTATCTAACCTAGATGGGGTAAAAAATGATAGAAACGTATAAAGTTGTTTAGTATGATGTAAATAATTATCATTAATATCATTAATCATCTGTATAATTTATATTGTAGCTTAAATATTTATTAGCTCAGTATGAATCTTATTGTTTCTCTGTTTTGAAATTTTTTTATCACCCTTTATACATATTTATATATTAATTTTATTACTACACTAATTTTCCCCGTGCACTTCGTTGTCCATTTAAAATGTATCCGTGTTAAATTTGGTTGCTCAATTTTAATATTTAACGTAACACGTGTGCATAAAAAATATTTTGGGTTGTCTGATTTGGTGTATAGATGATATTTCTGATTAACAAATTGTATATAGCTGTGTTATCCAGCATTTGCCATGTAAATTTTTTTGGCCATTTAAAAATTTTTTTTGAAAATTATTTTTCATTTGAATGGTCAGTGTCAGACTAAATATATTTTTTTTAATTATTCTTCAAAGTTTTTATCAATTTTCTATTATTTCTTTTTAAATTGTATTGTTTATTTTTAAAATTGAGGGCATATATGTGTATGTATAAGTTGTTTTTTAAATTTACACAGGAACAAGCAACATTGCAGTTACCCTCCTCTATTTAATTTCTCACTAAAATTAAGCTTATTATGTGGTTCAAACTTTGTTCTATAAGCTGAACGAGACCAATAAATTCAAATCTAACCAAACATTAAAACAATTTTAAAGGTTCAAATATATTTGTTTTTATCTAAAATACGAATTATAATAATTACTTTATAAAATAATAATTATATTCAACTAGAAATTTATTTTATGTGGTATATATGCCTATTAAATTACAAAATAATTATCATAAATATACCTATCGACGGTTTATATGGTTTGTAGTTTAATCAATAAAATATCATTTTATTAAAACTGTATACTTATTAAAATTGGAAAACTTATGCTTTTAAATGATACATTTACATTATTTAATGTATTCTTTTCTTTTACAATTAAGATTTGACTTAAAAATATTTGGCTTAAAAATCCTAATACTTCGTACATCTCTAGTATAGAGATATTATTATTTATTATAATATACGTATATTATTTTAAGCATAAAAAAATTCTTAATCATTTATTCTATTAGATGAGAGATGCAGGAATCCTTGCAGCTGCCACCGGAAGTACATTAAATGAAAGAAGTCGTTCAGGTCAAGTCTATTGGATAAATTATTACGATGCTGTTGAATATTTTGATTCATTAAATACTCGTATAGAAACGTTTACCGGATTTTCTACGAAGACAGCGGAACTATATCAAATAGTTAATTATGGTTTAGGTGGTCATTATTTACCACATCATGATCCGTTTCAAAAAGGAATTGTATACGTAATACAATAATAATATTTATTTCAACTTAATATTATTTTTTTTTTTAATATCGAGCAAAAATATGATATGATATGAAGTATATAATCATATTCCATACGCCATCAAACTTGATACCTAATCTATAAAATATTGAACCATTTAAATCATTACATTATAATCATTATATTTAATCATTTAATCTTTATTTTTTTTGTTTAATTATAATTTTTTTTTTTTAGGAAAATATGGAATTAGGTAACAGATTAGTAACTGTATTATTTTATGTTCGTCATTTTTTTTTTTTTTTGCTCAAGTATATAAAATATAAATTATAAAAACTAATTTTTATTTTATTAGTTGACTGATGTTAAAAACGATGGATATACGGCATTTCCTAAGTTAAATATTGTTGCTTCTACTGAAAAAGGAGCTGCGTTGGTTTGGCATAATTTGAATATATTTAATGGAGAATTAATCGATGAAACTCTTCATGGGTCATGTCCTTTATTGAAAGGAAATAAATGGAGTTAGTATTATTTTTATAGTTCATATAGACATTAAGAAGATGAAAATTAAATAAAAAATCTACATTATTACTACACTATACGTTTTAATTTTCTATAATTCATACGATCATCAAGATTAGTTACTAGATTTCAAGGCTTTCGAGATTTCTATACAAATTAGTTCAAAATACGAGTATAACGATTAATAATGATAGAAACCTATTTAGAAAATTTATATGGTGTACTTCATTGCAGTTTTTATAACAAAGTAATTTTAATTTTACATTTAATTTAACGTAAAATATCTATTCTATATTAAATACGATTTATTAATAGATAAGAGCATTAAAACATTTTTATAAATTAGATACATATTATCTTTAATAGTTAGTCTTAAAACTTCGGAAATTTTTTACACGTGATCGCAAAATTTATAACTAAAGATTTTAAATAGGTGTTTAAATAATTATATTACACATTTACAGATTTATTTTATTAATCATAAACATTTTTTATGAAACACGTTCAATGAAATTAAATGATGTATATTGATATTTATAAGTTGTGTAATATTTATATGATACTATTAAAATAAGAGCGATGTAAATGCAAAACTATTACAATAAATACAATACTTAATAAACTATTTTTATATATTTTTTAGTTATGACTAAATGGCTGTACGAAGAAGGACAATATTTGTCTTATGATTGGAAAAATAAATGAAAACGTTTAATAATTATATAATAATGAAATAATATATTTGAGGTTTATAGTTTCTTATTTAATTTATTTTTACTCTATTTTTGTAGTATTATTGTATAACATTTATTCACGTATCAATTAAGTATAAAATTACATTTTCAACTGGTTAAGTAAGGTCAGACGCCCTCACGACCTGTTGTCATAACTCATAACTATTATATATCTTATATTTAATTTAAATTTTCTTATGATTTGTAAATATTTGAAAACTTAGTCGATAGTATCTTGTATCACTAATATTCATTCTAACTAATACTAATTGTTATCTATTTTACAAATGATAAAAAAAATAATATGTATTTAATTAACAATATGTTAAGATGACAAACCTCAGTAAAACTTTATTTAATAAAAAAAAAAAAGTAAGGTAAATTGTGTTCAAATTATATAAACTGTAATACAATTGATAAAGATACTCCTAGATATTATAACAGATAAGTTATGTTTATTATGTATATATTTAGTTTTCGTGTATTTTGTATTTCTTGCTTTTTTTGTATTTGTTGTATTAACGCTTCGTGGTTATTATTTTACTGTGAATTTGGTATTTCCGATTTTTGCATACACCCATTCTTAGACTTGTTAATTTATTGTAAGTTAAAAAACAAAAATGTATAAGAGTAGGATTGATTAAATTATGATGAGTGTTTTTTAAAAGTGTTTTAATAGATTGATGTACAATAATTTATGGCTTTTTTTTATTCTGTTTAAATGTTTTGATATTCCATTATTAATGCTGTATGTAAAATCAGTATTGTTAAAAAAATAATTATCTTATTGATGTGTATATTTACATATTTATATAGTTCAAATTTTTACTATACATTATTATTTATTGTTTTATAATTTAAAATTAGATTTACTACCTACAATAGCCGCGTATATCGACTACTTATGTACAAATTGAAAATTCATAAAAAATTAATTTTTTTGTAATAATTGTTATAATTTTTATTGATTTTGAATATTCAAATTTGTACGTATTACGTGATTCCAAAAGATCTAGTAGAAATAATATAATTTCAAATTTTTAACATACCTAAAAACAACCTATTCATGTTTACTTGTGAAATAATTAATACTAGTCTACAAATTTTACAATATTTAAATTTTATATAATTTAACATTTATGTTATATAAACAATAATACATAGATAGACAGGTATGTATATTATGTTATTACATGTTATAGTTTCGAATAAATCAACTGGCTTCATCATCCATTCATCCACAATAAATTATATTATGTTTACTTAGCAATGGTCCTAAAAAAAAAAATTATATATATATTCGAAGTCATTAAACGCACCTCGGAGTTATACTCGTATCATATTTATGAATAGAGTGAATACATACCTAAAACAAAAATATGTTAAGATACTTAGTGTTTTTTCTTTCCACGAGTATGTTTGTAAATGGAATAAATTGGCATTCATCGCAGATCATCTTAAGGCATCTCTATGATTTACAAGACGAACAATTTGCAGTGACCAAAGAATATTTAAAACTGGAAATAAAGCGATTAAATGACTTACAGCGGTGAACATTTTTTATTATTTTTTTTTTTTAAATAAAATAGATTTATATTTTTCACTTATTTATATATATATAAAAAAAAAAAGTTATTCGAAATTATTGTCTTGAATCCAACCCATAATTTATATATAATATATCATATTATATATTATGTTGAAAAATACCAACAGCATTAACACTGTACTTATTTTTAATTATTGACTTGATTGCATGTTGTGTGAATACGATAATTTCATGTAATATATAATGTAAAGCTATATATTGTAATATTAAATTTTTTCTAGTTTTATAACTCCAATTTTTGACTGGTATATAAATTATTCATTTATGAAAGATACTTATATACTTAGTCACATCGATAGTATAAAATTGATGTCACGGGTATATAACAATTTATCCGAAATAAAAAAACTAATGAGTAATAAACATTCAATGAAAGGTAATATATATATTTTTTTAAATTTAATGTATTATACCACAGTATTGGATACGATTAATAATTTATTGCTGATTACATAAAATACAGTATTTAAACAATTTGATGAACACAAAGCTATTAGTGAATTAAATATACAATCAGCGTATCGATCTCTAAGAAGGATTCAAAAAGTGTATGCCATTCCTGCATCCGACATGGCTGCAGGTAAATTTAAGGACCGGACTATCGGTGACCCAATGGATGGTAAGTGCTATGAGAGTGACACTCATTATTATACGAGTAAATTATAATAATTTATACAATATACGTATTAATATACTTACAATTTTCAAACTTAACTTTTGAGTGATTATTAATGTTTTTGATTTTAATTTTTAGCTTGCGAATGTTATGTCATGTCAAAATATAGTTTTGAGGAATATGACACATATAGTGTTATAGATTGGACTGTTCAAACTTATAATAAATGGTTGATGGATCGTCCAAAATGTGTAGACATAGACAAATTACATCATTATATAAAAGCAGCATCGATGTCTACAGGTGTACCTACACGATCAATTGTAAACTTTTTCGATTTTAATTTAAACTCCAGTACACACTAGTCCATCGAATTACGTCCCAATCTTATCTTAAAATGAGAGTAACACGAATTAATTTCTCAGGGTTTAGTTGAATTATTAAACATATTTTTTTTAGTAGTTCTTGGTGGTTTCCAGATTGATTTAAAATAATACATCATTACTTTTTGTAAAAATATTTATTATTATGAAATTAAATTAACAATATTAAATAAAATATTTCATATTAACATACATGAAACTAGTTGTTAGTGGTTTATTTGTTCAATAACAATATTAAGGATTATAGTAGTTATACGGGTTTTCATAGTAATGAGCAAATTTAGTACATAGGCGAGATATCTATTCAAAATTAAACTGTATAAAGGATACATATATCAGCAAAGATTTAATATTAAATAACCTTTGGGCTTATAGGCAGAAAAAGCTCAAGCTTTTAAAGAACCACCAATCATAAATGCGAATCTCTTTATTAGAAATTTAACAGATTTTCTTATCCACCTCATCTAAACACGTACCCATATATTTTAATAATAAGCACAAATTACGTTTAAAGGTTGATAAAAAAAAATAAATTAATTAAACTCTTCAAAGAATAATGGAACTTGATGACATAGAGTGAGAAGAGGTAGGTCAATTATAGTAGGTCACAACACCAGATTTGTTTTAGGCGTCTTTTGGTATCAGCTGGAATAGTAGACACGGAGAGTTCTGAAATCAAGAGGCTAGCGATAGTTTTAAAGATTGAATTGTAGATGATTATAGAATGTCTTGTTGACGTTTTTTACTGTTGAGATAAAGAGAGTATAATGAGATTTTTTTAATAATATTGATGGATTTGGAAACTGTTTATAAATGTAATGTAAATTTGTAAAATTTATTTAATAACCTTACTTTAAGAATCACTTAAAAAAGTTAACTGTAGGTGATAAGGTAATATGAATTGTGTCCGGGATGCAAATTATTCAAAAAAGTTTGTTATTTGTCTTGTATGCAATTCGAGTGCGCTCATAAACTCTCCCTGGTCTAATTCAGTACTACTTGTAGATTTCCTCTCACCCTTAGATCCGATTCTGTGTGAGATGAATGTAAACTCTTCCGAATTTGTAATACTTCGTTAACACATTATAAAGAGTGTTATTAAAGCATAATATTTATAGTAATATGAAAACAGGAATTTAAAAAATGTTAATAACAATAATAATATAAGTCAATTTCTTAATCTGTTGATTAAATTATAATCAAAATATAAAGTTATAAATTAAAAAAAAAAGTTAGCTTTATTGAATATACATTAAAATTTCATTTTTATAATGTTATATAAACATTAAAAATCGGTAGAACTTACGTATTTTTTTTTGGAAAACATAATGTTGATCCGAAACTCAGGAGAGTTTACCATTGTCCGCCTATACCATCACTGTGTAGTAACTAATAATTTATTTACTATTCATAAAAACAAATGAGAATTCAGTTATGTACTGAAAACAAAATATTAAATATATTATGTACCTATCTATGGTAGGTACACAGTATATAAAAGTTGTATTAGAATGTAAATAAAAAAGTGTCTTTATTTTTCTCTAGGATTTAATTTTGAAACTTTATCAGATTTTAGTAATCTAAGTCATCCAGAAACTAGTGAATATTTTGCACAACATTTTTCTCTAATGGAAAACGCATTAAACATCCGTGATGTCAACATACAATCTATAGATATATTTCATGTATATGATGTAAGAATTTTAAATAATAATAATTCATAACTATTAATTACCTATGTATAATATTATGTTCAACGTTCGTTTTAATTGAATATATGAACGTATGTATGATGTGTGTATTTTTGTAACTTACTGTTGTATTATTAAATATAGAATTTTGAACAACTCGGTCGATATAAAAATTTCCGCGACTTATGTAGGACAGGTAAATCTGTGAGACCGTTAACGTTCGATTCTAAATGCCGTTATCAAACGAAAAATTCTGCATATTGGACATTAATGCCTTTCAAAGAAGAAGATATCAGTATCAACCCAAGCATTAAACTCTATCACGACATTATTTACGACGAAGAGATTAAGATTATTAAAAAAATGGCATCCGAAGATGTAAGTAAATTATTAGATGCACACTATGTACTTATACTCATTGTGTTAAGATGCTTTTCATAATTACAATACAATAGTATTATACCTAAATATCTATCAAAAAAATGTAGTTATTTACCTATGTACAATAATAAGCGGTACACTATTGTATAAGACTGCACCTATGTATTACACTTAACTTAGACGTGCATTTAAGCAAGTATAAAATACTACAAAGACGATAAAAAAATTCAAAAACACGTGTTTACAAATTATTTTTAAAATAATGTTATTGTAATGACATTAATATGTTACATTATATTGTTTTTTTTTATGGGATTAAATATCGTGCATGATCAAGGGCCGTTATAAGTGATTTTACAACATGGATTAACTAAATATCCAAGTAGAATTTAAATTATAATTTATAGCATAAACTAATATATTATATGATATTATATTAATAATATCGTGTAATAAATATGAAAAACATCCTGGATTGCTGCAGCTGCAGAAATTATGATTTTATATGTTTCACTTTACAGTTGATCGACGCAGCGTATTATTTTAACGGTAAGATTGCTTTGGTTGATGACCTACGTTTGGGTCAGCTCAAATGGTTTTCGGAAAATTCAAACCCGGTGCTATTTGGAAAGCTAAATGATCGAATAGAATGCATTACTGAGTATTCGACCAATACGGCCGAAGGATATCAAGCAGTCAATTACGGATTAGGCGGTCATTTCTCTGAACACGTGGATGCATTTACAGACGTACGAGATTTTTATTATACACCTACTTACGAAATTTGTACTTAATTTTAATACTTAAACAGTAATAAAGTATAATTATTATTATATTTTATATAGGTTTTCAATCTGATAGATTCCTCTTACCCTTTTATATAAACAGCCCCGCTTTTAAAATTATGTTGTAAGCTTCTAAATCACGTTTTTTTATTATTGGTTTATTGTGTTTTAAACTAAAATATTAGTATTTTATACTTAATAACACTTATATCCACATAATAAATAAATATTATGTTTTATTAAATTAATGTGTTTGTAAGATTAATTTGTATTTCTTTTTTAGGGTCCTAAGTTGAATGGCAACAGATTGGTCACCATATTATTTTACGTTCGTTATTTTTAATTATTTATTAGATTCAATATGTAATACATTGGCCAAAACATATTTCATTTTTTATAGATGACTGACGTCCCTGAAGATGGGTATACAGTATTTCCAAACATAAATTTTGTTGCACATTGTCGTAAAGGATCAGCTTTAGTTTGGCAAAACTTATACTTGAATAATGGTTCTGTAAATAGTAACACTCTTCATGGAGGTTGTCCTGTGATGAAAGGAAATAAATGGGGTGAGTAATTTCATACTACAGGTAAATCTCGGATAAATTACTGTTGAATATACAAAAAAAATAACATAAAACATAATATAGATCAAATAAACTTTCCAATTTCCAATTAAACAGTTATATAATGACAAAATTACTCTTATGACCTATAAAATTGCCTGAGCAATGGTTGGGTATGTTTATGTTTGTTAATTTTTTCTTAAAAATGGACCCACGAATTTTGACAGAACTTTGTAACTGGGTATTTTCGATAAAAGGAATTTATTACCCAGCACTAGTCAATAATAATTGAAAATATTTAAATTTATTTTACTATTATGCTGCTAAATTCAGTAGTTTGTAACTAATATTTTATAATTTTTAGTTATGACAAAAGGATTGTATGAAGAAGGACAAAATTTAGCTTATACTTGGCAAGATAATAAAATAATAACCATAGTTTAGAAATATTGTTGAATTTGTTAGATATAAACATTGTAGTTTCCATTCAAATAACAAATATTATAAAGTTTACGTATAATGAATACTGTTTAATTGTACTTTTATTCATTTCATAAATATTCACTAAATAATTTAAAATATAGTAATACATTTTATTACGTTTCATTAGATATTTATGTTATATTTATATTTCACATAATGTAAGTATTATGTTAAATACTTATAATAAATGTTAATTTTAAGAATAAAAATTATTTTTCTGTAAAATAGTACTAATTATTATTTATTGAAAATTTGATGAAAATTAAAAAAAAACAATTTGAAATAAATTGAAATGAATAATTTTGGATTTTTTTATAAATCTTAAATTAATATGCAAATAGGCACATATAAGGTGGACAGAGGTCAAAGTTTTCTCACAAAAGTATTGTTTAGCGCTTCTAAAAAAAACTGATAAAATATATTGTGTAGGTACTTTACTTATTACAAAAAAGATATTTCCCAGATTGTATGCCTCTCCTCCTCTAAAAAATTTATAGAGCTCACTACGCCTATAGTAATTTTACAACGTAATTCCAAAAGATAAAGTGGCTTAATAAATAACTTTTTTTTGCAATTTGTATTTTCAAAGTTACTATATTATAATATATACGAAATACTAATTACATAACTGAATGAAAAATCATAATATTGTCATTTATATTAATTGTTTTATAATAATAGTATATAATACATTTCATATTCAAAATCTCTTATAGGTTACAATAGTTAATACCACAAAATACATTTCTAATAGTCAATGATCTATTAATTGTAGTTTATAAATAGTATCTAGTAGTCAGAGATTGGTAACTATTTGATTACTGTTGAATGCATTTAATTTAATTATTTTTAAACAATGAGAATCAGTTTTCTAAAATTCGTAAAATAATACCGATTATATATTATAACATTATGATCATTATAATGAATTTAAATGTTAGTATTAAATCATTTTTAAAATAATTTAGTACTTAGTTTATAACCAGAATAATTTATATTTTATTGTATTAACACCTAATCAAACACTTCATGTACAGATTTATTAACATGCGTGGTTTTAAAAATCATGAAACATATTAAACGAGTAGTTTATGTTTGTCAGGAATATATAGTAACTAATTGGTATATTGTGTATGTAATAAAATTTATCGTTGATGAAAATGATGTATAATTTACAGAAAACTATTGTTGTTTTATATTTAATTCAATTTAACTTATGCCATGGCAGTAATTGGCATTACTCACTATCTTCAATATATGATCTGTTTAACTTGGAAATCGGATATTTAATTGAGACTGAAACATACATCAGAAATGAGTATAAAAGATTAGACAATATCAGAAAGTAAATAAAAATTAAATCAAAAAGGATAAATATATATTTAAAATCAATTTTTTGTAAGTTTTGAATATGTTTAGGTTTATAGATCAACGAAAGAAACAAAATGAAAGAGAGTTGGCAGAGTCGTATACAGAGAGCTCAATAAATGCATTCAAAACAATTCTACGCATTAAAAGTGACTGGGAAATATTAAAGAATAAAACGGCACAAACAACTACAATTGGTACATTTAAATATTATTGAATTAATCAAAATTATTTAGTTTTAAATTTGTTTTATTTTCAATTATCAAGTCTCCTTCATGTATGCAATAGGTATAAGCATATTTTTGTTATTTTAGGAGAATTCAATCATGGATCAGTGACTAATGATAACATTATCAGTGGATTAAAAGCTATAAGGAGGTTACAGATTATATACGAACTCGATGCGTCCGAAATAGCAAATGGAAACATTGGTGGTCACACATCCCAGCCGCTTGATGGTAATAACTACAACAAACAATTTAATATCTACGTATAAGTTAACAAAATAATATAAAATCATGATTAGCAAGCGGTATACCAACCTATCACGTGATTAAATTATTGTAACTTAAGAAATTAAATAAAATTGTATAGATATTATTTATTATAACATATGCCTAGGTAATAATACCTGCAGAGGTTAAACTAATTATTAAACGCTTAACTTTGATGTAATAAAAAAGTATATGTATGGAAAAAGAGTCATTATAAGATAGGTAGGTACTCCAGTACTCATAATATTCGTGCTAATTATATTTTATACGTAAAAATTTTAAAATTAAAAATAAGAATTAAAGTTTTAAAGAAGTAAGTATTTGATCAAAAAGCACGGTTCATAGTAAATATTAACATAAAACTTAAATTAAAGATAAAATTTCATAATTAGGAAAAAAAATCTGAAATCAGAATGTACTCAGTTCACAAAAAATCTAATTAAATTATTTTATTTATTAGCATAAACGCCCATCAAGTATATTAGGTAATATTTTATCTTATCATAACAATGCTACAATACAAAATCATTAATGCATATTACAATATATGATTTTCAAACAATAGGTAAATTAAATTTAGGTAGAATAAACAAAATATAATAATTTACAAATATTTAATCGCTATTTAAAAATAAAAACCTCCACGCACGGATATACAATACCGAAAGTGATTTTGTTGTAATGATAAATACTTAGTAATAATATAATGTATTATAATTTTAATATTTTGATGTACAAATTCTAGTTAACGATTGTTATGATATGGCATCGTTATGTTACGATAATGCTGAATATCATTGTGCATACTGGTGGTTTCGCGAAGTCTATGATAAATACAAAAAAAACAGTGATAGATTAAATGTTGATTACACTACATACATAACACAATTTGTTTGGTCGAGTTACTTAGTTGGTGAGTATCTATATTTTTTCACGTATAGCATTATAGTAAGTAGTGAATTAGGTATCTAAAATTTTTAGTCATGCACGAAAAATTAGACACATTATAATTATGCTAAATCAAATTTAGGTGACATTAATTGTTCAGTAGATATATTAAACGAATATTTGATGGAAAATAACGAAATGAATGATAATCTAACGAATATTAGATACACAGTGTGGAATGGAAATAACGTCTTTAAACGAAACACGGCAAACGATAATGATAAAAAGTTCTACTCGTATTCACTTCAAGTAAATATACTATAGTGTTAAATGAAATATATCATGTGTTTTTATAAATAATATATTATATATATTAATATAGTTGTATTATAAGTATAATTAATAATAATGTACATATACTATTTATATGTGTATTATCTATAAGTTATAAGCGCATTTTAGTATTATACTAATCAGTTGATATTTTTATGCTCCCCCTTTTTTCCTAAGTCAAATTTTTCTAATACATAAACAAAAAGGAAACACTCGTTTAAATTTTATTAAGAACACAATTAAATTCTTTGTTAGGATCCATGGGTCATCAAGTAATACTTTTGAGGTTTCAAATATAATATTTAATGTACTTATTGCACAATCAAAGATAGTGTAGAAAAAAATCCAAAAATAAAATAAATTCCAATGTCCACATAATTTAATTTACTTAAAAAAAGTACATTTGAGTTGTCATTAGTGACTTGAGATTAAATTGTGTAGTATTTTTTATAAGCGAAATATAAACGTTCTATACTTTCTATCACGTGTTATGTTGGGTCTACATTTGGCGATAGTTTCAATCATGGTGATAGCTTGTATCATGATAGCATTATATGACTATATAAAAATACATAAACTTAGGCAAAACTAAGCCATTGGATTTACCAATTGACTTTATTTATTTTTTTAAATACTTTTAGATGCCTTATTTTTTTTTTTTTTGTAGGTCAAAAGTTAGGTTTTTTTTTTACTCAACATCTCCACTATACATGAAAGTAATGTGTAGGTACTAGGTACACCAATTAATATTGAACTAAATATACAATAAGTAAATACATTAATACTACATAAACCTTAAAACTTACAAATTAAATTATGTTATCAACTGAAGATTATTATATACATATAAGGGTTTCTGAAAAAATGGGAAAGTATGAAATAACTCTTTTACAATTCATAATTTTTTTAATGAAAAAATAAAACATTATATGTCATTATAGGAGTTCAAAGGTTAAAAATAGCATATCTTGAAAATTATATAGAGAGATAGTGTCCATTTATATACACAATAACGTAACTTAACATAACATTGTGATTTTTGCAAAAGCCTTAACGGAAACTATACTAATCCACAGGCCTATTATTACTAAATAGCAGTTATTGTGTTGACAACCTACTATGGCTAACCTTATGTCCTTTTCTATATTTTAAAACTACTTTCAACATTTCCAATTTTTCTGGAAGACTCTGTATTAATATTATACTAAAAAATTAATGAATTTTCAATCGAAATAAAATAAATGATTAAGTGTATAATTGATATAGAAACTAGATTCAGAAAAAGAAGTGAGTTATTTCAAAACTGCATGTATGAATACGATGAATTATAAATATTCTAATTTGAAATGCCGTTACTATCATGGAGGTTGTAAATATTTGATGATTGGTCCATTACGTGAAGAAATCGTATTGTTAGTACCAAGCATGAAGCTGTATCATAACGTCCTGTATGACAACGAAATAAAAAGGATAAAAGAATTAGCGATACCAAAGGTAAAATATAATTCTACTATAACTTTATGATAATTACATCAAATTTTAATAAGATAACATTATATACATGGTTAATGTATTTATTGGGTAACATAGATTAAATTTAGACTTGAATGTATACGTGCCAGCATTTAAAGTATAAAATACGTACTTACCCACGAGGAATATCTTCAAGTAAATTCTACAAATGGGGGAAGCATTATAAATCTTGCATTTTCTAAAACTAATAATATAAAGCATTTACCGCAGATCAATTAAATTTACAAATTTAATTTATTTGACGTATATAATATACAATTTATGAATTAGGACTTAAAAATTATATATATTAAATATTTTTACGATCGCTGCTTTCCCTCATATGATACGACACGTCTGATAGGAATATTTATTATATAATAAATGATTATTTTTTCAGTTAGATAAGTGAGCTTTTGTAGTGAGTTATAGTGGGCTATATAATACCCACTTATAAATTTAGTTTTATTGTTATAATTGTTATTTTAATAGGGTTTAATTACTCATTGTGTTATTTTATAATAATTATTATTAATTAAGAGGACGCTACTTATACATGTTCTGTATTCGTTTTAAAAATGTACTGCATAACACATTTGTCATATTTGCATTTATCTTAATCGTGTGTTATTAGTTTTAATATTAGAGTGGATTAGCCTATTATTAAACTTAATAGTAAGAATATTATCTGTGCTTAAACGTCAGATTTTTTAGATATTTTATTTTTTAGACGAGGTATAAGTATGTAAAGTGTTATGAATTATAAAACAGATCAGTTCACTCTTTTAAGTTAAAACACTTATAATTGATAACACAAATCAATTCAGATGAACGCAAATTTTATATGACATAGATACGTTTGTAAAATCGAAACAAAAAAATATGTATATACATAATATCATCTTAATCATTAGTAAATTATTGAACATAAATCATCATAATATTAATATACTTTTATATTTTGCTTATTTTTTTAGTTGGAAAAATTGTCGACTGATACAAACGAAGATGTATCCCTTAGAAAAGTAGCATCGTTTAAGAAATACGAGGATCAAGTATTTGAAACAATTAACGATAGACTTGCCCAGATTACTTCAAAGTCTACGACAAACATTGTGGACAAATACATCGTTACCAATTATGGTGTCGGTGGTCATTACTTACCTCATACTAAGTACATTGACGATGATCATTTGGTTAACAGCAAAGGACGAGATGCCATAGTTATTTTCCATGTAACGTATTTTTGTACTTTTCATTAAATTATGATTAAAATATAATTATTATGATCACTATATTACAGTAGTACTGAAAAAGCAGTCGATAAAACAAATATAAAAACAATTATTTTACTCATAGAATCTAGAAATAATAGTTACCTATCAATAAAGAATTACAATGTTAATCCGACAATCAGTAATACGCTAATGCATAATTCTTATCAAATATAATAATTCTATTTAATTTATCTACATTTTTTAAATACAATGTGTCCCAAGATAAGTTACTGGCCAGCATTGTATGATAGTATATCATGAGTTATAAAAAACTTTTTAAACGGGAAGAAGAGTCTAATTTTTTAATTTTTAATTATTAGCAATTCAAATTTTTTTGAACAAAACCGAACTTACTCTATATTTGTTGATACATTTTCTACTTTTCAAATTTTTATAGTATTTTTTTTTTAAATTTTAAAGCTATTAATATTAGCTTAATATTATTATATATTACTATAGAAAGTATTAATGTATTTACTAATACTTATTGGCACATTTAGAAATGTATTAATTGTCTATTCTAATTTTTAATCTTTTAAAAATTTAGATGGATGACGTGCTTGAAGGGGGCGCTACTGTATTGCCTGATGTAAATGCACGCGTGCCAAGTGTCAAAGGTTCTGCATTAGTTATATATAATATGAGGAGCACCATTATGCCGAAGGGGCAATTTTTAAAATTCGTGCAATATGGATCTTGTCCAATAGTTTACGGTGATAAATGGAGTGAGTACTGAGTATAAAATATAATATTTTTAGGCAGTGCTCTATAGACTAGAGTTAACCTCGTTGTGTCAATCAATTTTTGTTATTTTTGATTTGAATATGGGGTGTTTATAAATAGGTAACGGAAACAATATTCGATATTAGTAATATTTATATTATGACAAAAAAAAAAAATAAAAAAATAATTTGGATTTTATTCAAAAAGCTATGTACTTTTTTTTTTAAGAATTTTTTATTCAACTTGTTACAAAATAATAAAAACAATTGATGGATTTAGAAAGTATGATAAATGACAGATGAAACAGACTGTAAAGGTTTCCTAGTAGAAGTACTATGCCATGGTAAAATTTTTAATTAGATTAGCAAATAACAATATCCCTTTAATTGCCTTTTAATTCTTTTATTTGGGTTGCATAGGATGATTTCAGATAATAATTCGTAGGTTAAGAGATTTTTATGGCGAGTTAGACGGCTGTTAAAAAATTTGTTGTGAGTTTTGGCTCTTTTAGAAACAAGGCATTTTAAGAGGATATCGTATCCGCATATGTTGTCTCCGTCTTACTAATGTAAAAAAAATGGTTTTTTTTTTTTAAATTAAAAAATGATTATAAAATTGAGACCGAGTTTAGTATCAGGTTAGATGAATAACAATTATTGTGCATATAAATATAAAATATAGTTAACGAATTTATCTAACTCCATATTATAAATCTTATAAAATATTTTTAATAAATTGTTTTTATTAATTATTACAATTACAGCATTGTCAGTGAATTTAAAACAATAAAACAAACGTTTACTAAGCATGTAATCAGTAGTTAAGTTTCGTATAATATTATAGCACTATGTTATTTATTAAACGTTACATCAAAGAAGTGACAAGAAAAATCAAAACAACATAACCTATTCATCACGGGAAATAATTATAATGTAATATTCAAAATGTATTATTACTTTATATTTTAAAATAGATTAAATTTTTTTAAATTTAGACAGTAATCGATAGCAAATAATTTAAAGGTGTAAAATTCACTATGTGTACATTATAATATATTTAGATAATTTTTTGTTGTGTATGTACTTATATGTTTAAATTTAAGCAATTAGTTTCTGGATAAATAAATTATTATTTATAGTATAGTTATCTATATTAAAAATTAATAAATAACGAATAATACTTCCTATGGTGGCAATAAAACGATTTTATAAAACTACAAATACTTGTATTTTTATTAGTAAATAAAATTAATCACACTATCAGTAATAGAAAGTGATAAATCGTATAAATTATTTAAATTTCTTAAAAAAAAAAAAAATAAAAGTGAATTAGAGATGCGTAGTATGAAAAACTTCATTCAACTGAACTTATATATTCGTGCAGTCAATAATTAACGTGATAATATAACCAATGACAATGATAAAAAATAACATTTTTTAAAATACAAAATGCAAAATACATGAATAAAAACGTATTAAGTATAAAATATGAATATGTATGAAATATTTAATATAAATATTTATAAATTATTTAAAATAATTTTATTCAAAATAAAAAATTGAAAATAAATATAAAAAATGTGTTAATATTTTTCAGATATTATTACAATAATATATAAATGTGCACTTAATTTTAATAATTAGTATATTAAATATCAGGCATTATAATAACTGAATTATTGATTTCCATTAAAAAAAAAAAAAAAAATAATTAATGGCAATAACAAGTAAAATACTAGTAAACTGTCATAATAAAATTATATAAATTCAAATTCATTTAAGTGTTGTTATAAATATTAGTATGTTTTAAATACAGTTTAGATTTAAATAACAAGAGAAAAGGGTTTGAGCTACTATCATTTGATCATAAACTTCACCAACTTATTAACGCATGCGTCCTGATATTCGTGCACCCAATTTATCGAGTTGTACATTTCCAAGTTTTTCAAGTCGTCTGGTATCCTTACAAATGAAGACCAAGAGAAATTGTTCAATACTGGTATTATATTGCATTGGCTTTGTTTCGCGGTTATGACTTCCTATTGGTTAGAAAATATCTGTTAATATATTGTAATAAATATCCACATACTAATACTACGTCTGGGAGTGATTATTTACCTTATTAATTATATCTAAAGATTCGATATCTTCTTTTGACGAAGCCAAAAATTGTTTGTCAAATGAATCTTGAGTCAACACAATAATAAAGTTTTTTGACTGTTTAATGGTCTGTAAAACGTTATTACGATATTTGATATCATTTGATCGTTTCACGTCAATGAACACATTGTAACCTCGAATTTTCAAGTATACTTTAAGTAAACTGTAATGCACATAGACAGTTTTATTGATTTATTTATTTTTTATAACATAATGGTATAATATGTTTGAATTTTACAAAGAAATTGTCAAGTATGATCATTACCTAGCCAGCACAGAGCTATCAGATCGTCTGTAACTGATAAAGGCATCGTAAGGTTTATCCATATTTTCTATGTAGACCGGCATTTCTAAAATTTTTTTTATTTTGTTTGTTTAATAAATAATGTTAATTAATCTATAAAAATAATTAAGTTTAAAATAAAGAATTTACTTCGGATTGAGGCTATTATATAACTTCGGTGAATATCATTTGAAATTCCGCAAACATTTTTGAGTTGGTCATCAGTTAACAACCTAAATTAATGTAGAATTCTTATTTAAAACTTATTGCTTGTATTTATTTTACAAGAGTTATTAATTTATTTACAAAAATAAAAATATGATTAATGTGGTAAATATATTTTTATATTATAATGATAAAAATTGTATTACTTCATAGAATCCTTGTCGATTCCAGCATTAAACATCGGATACGTGTACACAGAATATTCCGAATTAATTGATTTTAGGACCGAGTTTAAGCCTGTTGGATCAACATCACTGTAATCGGCTGATTTTTTTAAATTGTACAATTCCCTCATAATTCTTGAAAAAACATTTTAGAAATAATTATATTATGAATATTTTTATTTTCTTAATTTTAGTTTTGATTTCTTACAATTATATTACATAAACATAAATTATTTATCTCAGAATAAAGAAGTATACAAACAATAGTAAAGTCAAAATGTCAGTGTTGAAAATGTATTTATTGTATTATAAAACATAATGACAGTGGTACGAGAGCTGTAAAAAAGTAAAAAACAATTTTTTTCTCAATATTATAATATATATTTTTAAATTATTGTTGTTTATCTATTCATTATTAATAGCTTCAAGCTATTTAGTCTATAATATATTACTAAGAATAATGAGATACAATTTAAATTTTTTGTTAATCATGTAATAAAAGTGCGATCGTTTTGACCATAGAGTGATAAACTACGAGTTAAATAAATAATATAAATTTGAAAAACAGTAGAAACTAAAAAGTAGGCAAAGAATAACTTTAATTAAAGTTTATTTGATACATAATATATATTTTTTTAATTTATTCAGATCTTAACATACAATTACAGTAGAACCTCAATAATCCAAACTAATTGTGACCAAACTGAGTTTGGATAAGCAAAAGTTCGGATAATAGAAATTAAAAAAAAGTCAGTTTTTGACAAATTGGCTAATTATATATATAATACAAAAATAATATAAATGTCCAGTATATAATGTTTATTGATAAGTAACCACACGTGAACGTCGTTAAGATAAACATTATTAAATTACGCACGTGTACATATTATTATGTATTATTAATAAACTTTATCGGGCGCGTGTGTCGTGATATTTTACGCATTGAGTATTGACGTTCAAATACATAAATTGAAACAATGTTTGGATAACAGACAGTTCGTATAACGGAGATTCGGATAATCGAGGTTCTACTGTATTACATTTTGACACTTATCGTACATAACATAATTACTAAATTGTTAAGCCTGATTATAGTATAAAATTAAATATACTTAACACGTAATGTTTGGTAGTGATTGTATTGTCATCTAAAAGAGTAGTAATAAGGGAAAAGTTGATAATAAGATTTTAAAAAAATGTTCTTAAATTGATTTTTAGTTTGCTTAGAGAATGATGGAAAATTAAGAAGTAGATATTAAAAATCGTAGTAAGCCCCATCACAATTGGATACGGTGCAATACGTGCTATTGTTGAGTTCTTATTTAAATGAGTGGTGTGGTAATATTATTTTAGAATTTTAGGATATGAATAACTATGATCTTATATGACAAATAATAAGTAAGACAAACTGACTAGACTGTGTCCACAAAAAAATGGACTGCTCTCAAACTAAAATTTGTCATCCGCACGCTGCAACCTCACTGATCGTTTTTTAATTTCAACTATTATTCTAGTTCAACGTCGGTACTACATAGCGAATTTTTTACAAAATATCTTGTCATTACTAATCCTTTAACTAGATAACTAGTCTATTAGATAACACCACGATCTTTATGAGTAAAATCGGTAATTTTTCTCGTAGTTTAAACCACAGATTTTTATATAGAACTCGAACTCCCGCTATCAATTGAAGCCAAATTTTTCGGTTGACATTATATGGTATTTTATATGGCAAATATTAATTAAGTTGTATTGTATTTTATGATGTCTAAACCTGTTGTTTAAAAAAATTAAAAAATATTTTTTATAAATCATTTTTCATTTATTTCTATATTTTACCATTAAAGACGATGTTATTTCTAATACATTTTGTATAGGAAATTCAATGTTTTGCCAACCGACAAAATGGCGGAAACTGATACGCGAGCTTCACTATTAATAATATAAATAATATACGAGTTCCTTATCTAGTTAGTATAGAAATCTGTGGTTTAGACTAATACAAACCTTTTTTTCATTATACCGTTGTGTATTCCAATATCGTATTTTAATTCATCTTCAGTTAATCGTAATAATAGATCACCGTCAACTTGATTTTCCAATAAGTTATTGGCAAAATCGCTAAACCCAATTTGCTTGAACCATTTAAGGACGTATTCTACCGACCACTGAGGGACTTTTTTATTGAGGTTGTAAGAAACTTCTTCGTCGATCAACTGACATGATTGAGATGCTGTATTTTTAAAGTAAATAGATATATTATTTAGGGATTTCAATGATATTGCTTTGAACATACTTGTCGTACTAAGCTGCTTTATATTCTCAGATTCAGATGCTTTTGACGTTACCTCGCTATTGGATTCATAATTGTTAATTAACAAATCGTTATCATTACAGTGTCTATTGCACAATTTATTACTGATTTTATAGGCTGCCTTATCATTTATTCCAGGCATTGTAAATGCTCCACTGTCGCCTTGAAGATTAATTGTTATGTAGTTTCTAAAATCGATAAAATATAAATATATTGAATAATATTCGTATTAACAATTTTTTATTTAATTATTATTATAACCCATTTATCGAAACAATGGTTATTATTAATCGTTGATAAGTTTTGATCAGTATGCATATCGGTTCATGCATATCACTTATGTTTTTGGCTTGAGCGGTTTTTACACGTTAATTACCCAGGCTGTTGGGATATTAATTATTGGTGTATTGTTTGCGTAATAGGCTAAAGGGTTTGAATTACTTTTTGAGTGTTCTAGAATATAATTTGTTCTATGTACCACATACTTCAAAGGTAAAAATTTTATGCTGTACTTTTTATGTTATTTTTTTAACATTATCAAGTTATGTTATTAGTTTTTAGTGCATTATTATTGTATGAGTTTTTAGAGTTGACTGGGAAAATCAAAGTATAATACCAAGAAATATTGTCTTAATAATATTTATTTTTATAAATTTAGGTATTTTTCACCCATATCTATTGTCGATTGTTCTATAATATGTATGAATGCGATAAACTTTATCTATTTTCATTTTTCAGTGATTACTGGACGTAGTGTATTACCGGGCTCAAACAATAAATAACAACTGACTGATAAGTTGGTATTTAGGTCGTAGCCCATTCGGCTTTCGTTTTTCTAAACGGCTCTCGTTTTACAAAAAAGTCAATTTACAAACAGCTCCAGATTTTATAACACAAATTTCTTCCCACTTTATACAGACTTAGGACTGTCTCAGAAAAGGTGAGGTTAAAAATGTTTTAGTGTACACTAAGTAAATTATTAAAATTATATAAAAAAAAGCTTATAGTATGATATGAAATTTTAAATGTTTAACATCAGAAAAATTTTTAAAAAAAATCATTTGTTAGGCACAATTTTTTTATATAATGTATGCGTGCTATTTTATTTGATGAAAACTCTTAAATGATTTTTTCGACGAGCTCTTTTTTTTTTTTTTTTTTGTTGATCAGGCAGACGTGCATATGTCTAATAATAATTGTAGAGTTTACAATCATACAATTATACCTGTTTGTACATTTTTTTCGATGGGAGCCAATTTATCTGTTCGTAAAACCTTCTTTGACGGGAGCCGTTTGGAATCCCACGTTTCTAATATACTCGTATTGTTTATTTATTCTGCGTGCCTAAGTTAGGTATTTTGTTTTTGTATTATTATTTATTTAATTGAAATGAGGAAATGTTAACAATTTAGGAAATTAAAATGTTTTCCAATCTATAGCTTGCATAGTTGTATACCAATATTTTTTTTAGAGTATTTAAAAATGGTCCCCAGTAATAATTTATAATAAATATTAATTGTGGTAAAAACTGTGAAAATAATAATTTTAATATGACATAAAATGAATAAAATTTAAAAAATTTATAAAAATAAATCGTTTTTTATTTATTATTTTTTATTCAAATATCTGAACTGAATAGTACAAAATAAAATATTTATGTTTTATACTTTTATTTTTAGCTAAAATTATATTACTTATCTATATTAATTATTTTCTACATTTCAATTATTTTCATAATTTTAAACGTAAATAGTTGTTAGCGAGTCATAAATAGAAGTCATCTTAAAATGTTTTTAATTTATCGATGATGTGTATTTACACATATTATCATTTACTTAATTATTATTATAAAATGAGTAAGAACGTTAATAAGTATCTATGTAATTATTGATTAAGAGAGAATTTGATGTACTATATATTAGGTATTCGTATAACTTGTCATAGAGTAGGCCATTATATTGGATGTGATATATTTAAATTTAGTGATTTATACGATATAATATTCAATTCTACTTGGTTTTGCCAAAAAATATGTTGTTGTTCATTGAACCGCGATTATATTATTGAATATAATATTAGTAAAATTTAGTTAAATAATATATTAGATTACAGAATTTATTAAAAAATTTTTTATCATAAAATATTTTAATTATTTACGCAATTTTGGGATAACCCTCCCCCTCATATGTATAGAATAGTGCATTTCTCACACTTTGATTTATGCCATATTTATTTGCATATATGATAAGAAAATTTACTTATAAAAAAGAACTATAAGGGCATTGGCTTAATTATGTGACTTCTGGTATGGGAAAAGAGAAACAGGGTCGTTCTATATATAAAGAAATCCGTAATACAATAATACATCATTTTCAAATGTACTAAGTTATTATTAATAGCTATTAACAATAGCTGTTAAGTCTTCACGCCATATACTACTGTACTTTTTATTCTAATTTGTGTTTTTATTAAATAAACCACAAAATCAATAGAAATTGTCTTAAGCAAATTATTCAACTCGATCTGCAACATTTGGATCACATACAGTCGGTCCTCAACTACAATGAAAAACTTTTTTAAATGGAAACAGTCTGTCAGTTTACTATATTTTATTAAACATTTATAAAACTATATGAGTAAGTAAATTATTTTTCTGTTATTAATATGGTAAATAGAACAAATAAATAAATCACACAATAAGGTATATTATTATAGTAATATTAAAAAGAAACTTTCAGAAAAAATATCTTAATAACAATATTATAACAGTTGTTTATGTTTAAATATATTTTTTTAATTTATAATTAATTAAATAATATTAATAATTTAAAAATGTATTGAGTATACTATTGAGATTAAGTTTATAAGGATTATAAAACTGAATAGAATTGTATTTTTATATTATAAAACTTAAATTCTAATTATTTAAAACTCAGAGTAAAATCAAACGAATGAAATATATTTCTAAGTTCAATTAAAATCACTTTAAACTTTTATAATATCAATGAATAAATATAAAGTTGTAATTTTAATAATATTTCATATAAATATGACTAGATTACATTAACTTAAAAAAGTCAATACTAGCATTCCCCGTTAGAACAATTATTTTAATAGGTTCATAGTATAAATTGTTTAAAATGAATATAAATATTTTGAATATTTTATTTTATGTATAGAAAAATAATACACATATTGGAAAATTTTTTAATCCTTATACATTATATTTTTTAAATAACAACAAAATAAATAAAATCATTATTTTTTATTTCAATATGCAATTTCGAAATTTTACTATAAATTACCATAAAAAAAAAAAAAAATCGTGCATAATATTTTTGAGATTTTAAGGTATTTTTAAGATAAAATCATGATGAATCGTGCATTAAATTTTTAAGTCTTGTATAAAAAAGTTGAAAATCAACCCTATATAATTTTAAGTTTAAACTCAAATTCAAATTTTTGCAATCTCGATGAATTATGTCCAAATTAGAATTTTAAAATTTTTTAAAGATTAGTAATTAATAGCTTATATATTTAATATTTTTCAACTTAAGTAAAAGAAAATTATTTAAGATTAGTTTTGTATTAAATTTTAAAGTATTTTAGATTAAACCTAAATATTTTTAAAAAAAATTTAAAAAAAAAACAAACTAAAAAAAATTTGAAAAATTTAAATTTATTGAAATCTGTACTATGTGTAGACATTGATAGTTGAAGTAAAAGTGAAATGTTTTTAAGTTGTATAGTTAATATTTTTTTAATAAAAACAAAATAACAAATATTAATTAAGGATAGTAATTACTAATTGATATTAAATACATGTAGATGTGCAATGTCGTTAACATTATAGTTATAATCGCTAATAAAAATAATATTCTTAAACTTTTTTTTATTTCTTAAGAGAAATATTATTTACATTTTCAGATGATAAAATGTATGTATAATAAATTTAACAATACAAAATAATTTGCAAATTTTTATAAAAACAGTACATTGAATATAGCTAAATTACAACTATGCAATTTTGATATTTCTATTTTTTGCGAGAAAAAATTATTAGAAAGGAACCTTGAATTAGATTTTTAAGGTTTTTAAGGTTTAAACAAATATTTATTAATTATTATACATAAAATGAAAAAAAAAAAAGTTGAAAATTTATAATATCCATAAATAGCAAGAAACAAGCAAAAATAATTTTAAATTTATATTATGTTTAGTTTCAGTAAATGCTGATAAAAATATCTTGTAAACATTTCAAGTCATTTCTGTAATTATTAATATAATTTTCAAATTATGATAAAAAAAATAAGGTTTTGTCAAAAACTGATTTTAGAAAAAAAACTTTTAATACAGTTTTTCGAGAGTACTCTATCAGAAAATACCCTCGAAATAAAAGACTGAATTATTCTTTTAAACCATTTAGCGTGTACACATCAAGCAGAAAAAAATTAAATAAAAAAACAAACATCAATGTAAACCATCTTTGCTTCGCTTAGAATCTAAAATTATTGTTACACGTTAATGTAATTAGGTTACTATATATAATATTTAGAAAATGGCTTTGGCTTTGAAGAATAAATCATGAAATAAAAATATATTATATACATTGGATGATTCAAATTATGTAAATAATATTTTCAAAATCATTAATACATTTGAGATTATGAATGATTATATTACATTTTATTATATTTATAATTTATACACATTATTATGACAATCAATCACCTTTTATACATAAATTACTAAATGTCATTAATTTCAATAATAAATTTAAGTGTTTTTTTTTTTGAAATATAATAATTATAGAGTATATAAATATAATTATTGTCTCGATTAAACAAATGACTACAAATACAGTATGATTACGTATAACGTAGAAATTTAATATTTCTACTTTATAAATTGAATAATGAATATATTATCTATATTTTTATAAAATATATTGTTATTTATTAAAATATTTACTTACCTAATTCTTAAAATGTTTATATCTTGCTAAAAAATATGGATATGTGATAGTTAGGTACGTGTTGTAGTTAAAATAATGGTTAATTGCAAAGCAAATTTAAAATCTGACTATTAAAAATAAACATTAATAACTAAATCGAATTATATAAAAATAAAAATAATAAAATCAATATATACTTATGATAACGGTAAATAAAAGGTGCTTACGAGAATATCAAACTACAACTGAAATATATTTGTTGTAATACACATTGTTTTATGCTTAAATCCCACCAATAGAAATGGACTCTAATTATGTGATATGTAAGTTGCGTATGTTTAGGTATAAAAAAATTATGTTGAAATGAGTTTGATTAAAATGTGACTAATATGACGTAAAATTTATTAAAATTTAATTATATAAACAACTTTCAATTGGTCCAATAAGACAAATTAAGGTATACTCGAAGCTACTTGCTCCGCACGTGTGCCTTATCTTTTTATATTTGATTACATTCAAATATTAAAATTATTCTCAACATAATCTGTATGTTCTTAACACGTGTAAGCGTTTAAAAAACAATTTTTTTTTTTAATAAATATGATAAAAGATGCTCTCAGTATTCTGCAGACTTGATATTGAAATAAATTGACGATTTTTTACATATATAATAAAACTTCGATGATATTAGCCACTAGGTAATTTCAATTCATTTTTAGCTATAGCTAAATATATTAATTCAAAATTAAACTTAAATACTTGAAAATTAACTATTTATCTTATATTATCTTTCTAATTTATAATTACTACCAATAAATTTTTATTCTTACTTAAGAAAAAATAAAGATAAATTATTTAAACATCATATTTTAGATTCTGATCAGTGCAATGTACAAATTGATTTTACAATGATATGGGATTTTTTTGTGGATAAGTACATGCTAAGTTATCAATAAAATGCTCAAATTTTCAAAAAATGTTTCGAATTAAATTGGATCAAATTTATACTTCAGAGATTTCATTTTTTCAGGAAAATATTATGATCTGTATATATTAATATAATAAAAAAATTTTATCACAAAATATAAGTACAAGATATGAATAGCACGAAAAAAGGAGTCTATTGACAACACATAAAAATGTAAAGAAAGAAAAGAGTGAAGTATAAAAATGTTAAGCTGAATTAGAGTAGGTAGGTCTTTAGTCCAGTTTCTTTTAAGTCAGCGTTAGGGATTAATAAGGTCAGGGGAATTATGGAGATTGGGTATTGAAGAATTAAAAAAGTTTTAAGTGTCACTGTAAAATTGTTTGAAACAGCAAGAAGGAAATTCAGGAAGTCAGGTATTCTTAGGTCTTTATGGAGATTATATTGTGGTTATTAATATATCATAAAGCACCTGTTATTATTCATTGGTCAATTGATTAGAAAGAATGTTGGAAATGGTTAGACTTAAAAATTTCCAGTACCTATTTTTATGAGCGAGAAAAACAAGCAAGAAATTAATAAAACCGGAATTTTTACGCAAATCTAATTTTTGATAAAATAGATTTTGCTTTTTAAAGTAATTTGAATATTAATTACTGTAGATATTTGAAATTATCATTAAATGTTTATATTATCATTTTTTATTTAATTATTTTTAAAAAATTCATTAAAAACGTTATTACTAGTAAATTAATTTTTAGTTAGAAATACTTAAAAAATTTTGTTTTTATTCCTGATTTTTAAAAATGTAATACAAGATTCTTTATTTAAAGTTACCGACCAGAAAACTAAATTTATTTTTTTATGACCATTTAAAATTCATATTTTTAAAATTAAGTTCGATATTTACCCGTGAAGTAATTATTTCTCTTCAATGATTTTTAATATTTTTTATATTTCAAAAATAATAATAATAGATGCATACAATTATTACCGAATATTTATATTATCATTTTAATTATCTATTTCAGCGGTTCTTAACTTTTTGTAGATCATGGACCCCTGATCAAAAATTTTTAGAAATTACGGATCCCCTTATCAATTTTTTTTTCGTATATCTTTCTTTTACAATACGTCATAATATTATATTGATGTATATTATGTATTAAGGCTGTCGCGGACCCCCAAGAGGACCGCGGACCACAGATTAAGAACCACTGACCAATTTGATAGAATTTTTAAAATTTTTTGGAATGGTGACGCACCATAAGAACCAGTACCCATAAATATCGGTTATTTCGGATCTTAGAGAACCGATGAAACCGATGGAACTGAAGAACCTATCATCGATAATAATAATAATACTAAAAGTAAAATAAATAACTTTAATAGCTGTATAAAAAAAACATAATATGACAAAATATACTTAATGATTAAGGTAGATCTATATATAGTGATCTACTCGACACCTAATGTATAGTATAGCGGTACCCACTAACCTATATTTTTTATTTTGTTTTTATAAACACATACATAGGTTAATATATATTATTATATTTTTAATAATTTTTGATACCTATTATTTTTAATAATTATTTAGGTATTGATCAAATAATTATAAACGAAAATAATATTATTATCATTATTATTTATTTATATTATATATTTATACACATGAATTGTATATAACTTATATTTTAAATACTTTTTTACATCTATGATAAATATTGAACTCTTTAGTTTAAACGAAAAAGGAAGACTACGATTTTAGTCGAAAACGACCAATGCATTGGACACATCGAAAAGTTTCATAGAGCGGAACTGGAAGCAATTACATTCATAAAAAATGTAGAATTGTGATAGTAAATTTTTACCATTTCACTATTTTTAGTTAATTTTTAATTTTGATTATCAGGTTCTTTTGTTACTTATAAATTATTTATGGATATTTTTGTTTTTTTTTTTTTTTTGCTATGGTCTTAATTTATGAAACTATTTTTACTAAATAGTATAGATAGTCATCAACTTGTAATTCGTGACACCGCCATTGTGCGATAAGTATATAGTAGTGCATAGATACATTTTCGTAGACACAGTTTAACGACTTTGGCATTCCATTAGAAGTCTTATGTGTTTTTCAATAACAGATTCTAGCAATAATCAAAATAGCAAAAATACAGAGAGTTACCAGACAATGACACATTTCAGTTTTTAATGAGATAATTTGCCGAATTACATAGCGGTAAAGTTGTAAAGATAACTACCAAAAATTCGAATACAACGTAAAAAGTGGAGTTGCTAGATATCGAGCAAATAGGTAATATACGTAAGGAATATTATTAAAACAATATTTAATTTTTATGAAATTCCGTGATTAATAAATTAAAACTGCGAAAACAGAGACATATTTCATGTCTCCACGGATCATGCCGTAAATTATCTTTCATAATTTTTGATTCTCCCACGTGTCTTTTGTGACTGTAAAACTTCTAACGACTTGACTGTTTTCAATAAAAAGTATATAATTATATTCTCTGAGACACGAAGGATATTTATCATTTATTATTTCAAAGCTTTTAGGTTGATATGAATGGCTAACATATATAAATACATAGAAGAATTAAGAATGTCATCACGAACTGAATAACCAGTAAACCTATACTAGACGCTATTGTTAGTCATACAAATCGTGAAAATGCAATGAGGCCGTAAACAAAAATTAGGTACCAAAAATTACTACTTTTTGAAGTGTACAAATTACATGTAGGTGTTTACTGTTAATTGAAAAAAACCCGATTGTACGTATTGCATATATTTGTTACTTGTTAAATTACCTGGTTTTATCCACTCGCAGTTATAAATGAAGACGCAATTATTTATGTAGGAAAGTTTTAATTTATATAATTTTACAACTTTATGAAAAAAATCATAAAATTATTAAAATCTTTCACCAAAAACTATAAAATACAATATTATCCATTCCGCTTCTTACCACAAACAAAAAATTAAAAAATGACTTACTTGGAGATACTCAGGGAAGTATTTGTAACAACTCTACGGAAAAGAAAACCGTAATAAAATTCATTGGTAGTGTTAGAAACATAGTATATAAATAGAATATTTATATATATATATAAGGATAATAATATGCAACGAAATTAAATCTAAATCTACCAAAATTTGAAGTAGGTTAGTCGTAGAAGTATGTATGATGTTAGTTTAAATTATACATAAGACGGAATTTCAATTGTTATTATTATTGAAATTTAAAATGTATTAGATTAACCTGAATTGATAATACATCAAATAATACTATAATATGAATATCCAACATGTTTTCGAAAATAATTTAAAAAAAGGTCGTTCTATCCACCATAAGTGGATCCAGCCCGAGATAACGGAGGGGGCTAATATTAAAAATAACTTATATACGTGTATGTTTTACTATAAAATGGAAAAAGTAGAAAAAAAGGTTATAAACTAATATCTTGTTGTTTCCTAAATAAAACACAGCTTATGGAAGGGGGGTGTCCTTTCGCCACCCCGCTAAATCCACTACTGTAACCATCCAACCAATCAAATAGAAATTGTTATCAAGGATACGATCAAAAAAAATAATTACATTAGAGAAATTGAAATTAAGTTAATTTATTTTGAATATTTGTTCGGTTTATTAAAATATAAATTACCTATTTTATTTTTCTTTGCGAATGTAATTTAGTTTATCTATTATAATTGCATCTTTGTTGATTTTGATATAAAACATTATAAATTAAAAAATTTAATGAAAATGTATGTAGTGATAAATGATAATAAAGTAATAATATAATATTGAGAGAATCTTATATTAGTAAGTTAAAACAAATAGTTAAACAAAACACTGATTACTTTAATGAATTTAATTATTTTATTTGTACAAAATATACAAAATAGCTACCTGTTATATAATATTACAATATGTCAATAAATAACTACTTTTTTATACTTAAATAAAATATCCAGAGAAACTGGTAAACAATAGAGACGACTGAAAAATAATATAAAATATGCAGATTTAGACTAGTCTTGAATAAATTTCAAATATGAAAAGCATTCTTATGGGCTAGACGCCACTTATTATAATATGAGTATGTACTTTATCACTCGATGAAGTCATGAAACAAAATAATAATATATCACATGAAAATACCTAAACTTCTTAAACAACAAGGCTAAACAAAAATATTTAATAAATACTATACCCCTACCAGCTGCGACCATCAAATGAACATCTTACGATCTAAGTATCGATCATCTCAACTAAAAGAGTGCAAGAAAGTGACCATCATCTACCGAGTTTATAAACAGATAAATGACTAGTTAGTGCTTTCTTGACACCTCTTTATTTTTATAAAGTTATTCATTTAATATAGGTTTTACCTATATTTCATTTTATCTCATATTTACACAGAGAACTCAAAAAACTAGAACAAAATATTCAAAAATTCCTATCAATAAAATGTTATTGATGTCGTTTGGTCTATAAGTAACACTGTGTTTGTCCGATTCAAAAGTCTATGTAATTTACGTAAAATCATCCTCAATCTGTTACTCTAACATTAAAATACTTATTGTACCGAAGATTAAGGTACCATTAATCTTAATCGGAGACTTTTCACTATAATTTTAAGTGTTCCGATATTCTAAAGTTATTCAATCGCACGAATGCATTATTTTGGGATGTATTAGACGGTTGAATTTACAATATACACATAATATATTATCATTTTCATTCATAAATAATTTACAATAATCTAATATTTCATAATTTTCTAAGTAAGTTTATAGTTATGTTAAAGCAACAAACTAGACACCTTCGACCCACCAAGTATCGAATTTGTGAATTAGTTTTGTTCAATATGACACATTTTTGGATACATTACTACTGTATCGTGATTAATTCTGGAAGTCACAGCAGCGTATATTTTAATAGATAATATTAATGGTGTAATTAAGTGAACATTAATTCATTTATTAACTTATTGAATAAATAATATATTTAAATGTACTATTTTCTCATATTATTTTTATAAAACAAATAATTTGAATACCATTTATGCATATTAAATTGCTTGATTTTTATAGTAACTAATAATTTGAGTTATGAATTTCTAATAAAAACTAGCCTATTTATAATGCTTAAAAATTTAGCTATATTTTATCATAAATTCAAAGAAAAAACAATTTGTACATTGTTATTGAATTGAGTCACTGAGTATTGAAATTTGGTATTAAAATAAATTATTTAATAATTACTAAAAACTCGATTGATATGGTTTATACTTACTTTTAACGGTAATATAGCTAAAACACCACAGTCATTAAAAAAAAAAAAAATTAAAATATAAAAGTCTTATCGAAAATTATAATAAAAACCGTTTGCTTATTATGTCAACGTTAAAAAAAACATTATAATTGAGTCTAGTTTTTTAATGTGAATATTGTTGTTATTGAGTAGAGTTAAAAATCAACAATGAGATCACTGACAAACAATTTTTTTGTACTTATCTAACTGCAACATACTTTCATAAAAAAATATATTATTTATGTAGCGTTTTTACCATTGACCTGAAACATTTAATAGTGAAAACTATACAGAAAAAAAAGTTTTGGATAGCAACTGCCACAATATCGCCCTCTTTAAATACCATGATATTATAAATACCTACTGTTATTAGTGATTTCAACAAAAACCATTTTTAAATTTGTTATATAATGTGATAAAAATTATTTAGATTTTATATAATTAACAAGTGATTGGCTTAGTCGTAAAATTAAAAATAAGTCAACTATAAATTAATAACATTACTTATAAAAAACTATACCTATATAATAAAAAATTGTTAATTTACTATGCATATTACCAGCTACAGTATTCTATGTAAATATTTTTTATGCATGTTTAATATTATATATTGTATAGACTCGTTTATATATTATATATTAATTACGAGTTTAATTTATTAGTTTATTATTATACTTATAAAAATATGACAAGATCATATTTAATGTAAACAAGAATATTCTCAATTCATTTCTTTCTTTGTGTTGCAGTCATGCAAATTGAATATAACATTTCTTCTGAATGATATACAAAAGAAACCTAAGGGATATTTTAAATAATACGAGTATTTAAACAGCTTATATGTAAGACCATTGGTGCTCGGAGGACATGTTGGGGAATTTGCCTCCTCCGAACTTCAAACATAATTTTGAAAATTTTAACTTTTATTTCTTGTACTATAAATATTTCATTGATATTTTGATTCTAATTTAGTTTTATTTTTTTTATGTTTTTTTTTAAAAAAAAAAAACTTTTTTGATTAAATAGTGCTATAATATTCTTGGGCAAAAATAGAATGTAGTTTTAAAATATTTGAGCAAAAATAGACGTGGGCGAAAAACGAAAGGTCATTTTGGGTGAAAAGAGTCCCAATTGCTGTCCACTAAATGCAGAAAATATCAGATAAACTATAAAAAAAAAAATGTAATGAGGTTAAAAGAAATTTTCAAGTACATAATTATTTCAATGCATCTATTGACTGAAACAATTGGAGTAATTATAGTGGATTTACCCTACATTAAACTTTGTTAAATGTAATTTAAACATATTTTTTAACAAAATCATTTGGGCGAATTTGACCAAATACAAAATGCAGTCCAAAAATTATATCTAATAATAATAATAGCTGTTTATTTTTTGTAACCAATGGCAATCTTATATAATTAAATATAAAATATATATACATTTGTTTTTCTAATAAATCACCGTGTTAATCCTTATTAAAATGCAAAAATTAAAAAATTAACTTAAAAATGCATTTTTGCAAGGCTGAGCAAGTTAACGTTTTTTTTTAACTCGTTAAGTTAATATAAGAAAAAGTAAGTTAATTTAAAAGTTAACTAATGTTTTTTATATAACTTCGTTAATTTAAAAATTAGTGAATAAAAAAATTTAACTAAGTTAAAATTAACTTAATTAAATATTTAATTATTTTCGAATCTGTAAGAAAAATAGGTTACTTAATTTTGAATTTGTGTCAAGCTCAGATTTCTGTACCCATGTGACCAACCATGTAGTATACTTAGCAGTATTTACTGAGGATTTAGGGTGGGCAGTTGACAATCCATCCAACTCTCTTCCACTGTTCTACTCATTAAAGGAAAGGGGGGAGTTAAAATGATATAAATACACAAATTATACAAATTCTACTATTAGCTGCTACATGTCAATATTTGGGAAATCCATATAAAGTATAAACACAATCAGCGTAATAAGATACAAGAGTATATGAGATACATTAACATTCATACATTAACATCGAATCAGAGTGACAGAGTTAACAAAGATGTTCAGAAATACATTTTTCCCCATGAGTTATTTAAATAATTTCAAGTAATAACGTATTTCTCAGGATGTGTGGCGTATTCGTAAAGTGTCACTAGGTAATGAATTCTAGTTTACAACAAAACTAATTATTAATTAAGTACACAGCCGTCGCTACCCGTAGTACCTACTACCTAGAACGGCTAGAACCTATACTCACGACTATACGTCTATATAATTGTCAATTATTGAAATTTTTAAATTTAAAACTATTAATTAATAATACATGTGAGTGGGTATTAGTGGTATTTCACTAGATACAGGCTATCTACAAAATTGGAAATACCTATATGTCTATTATATGTATATTGTGTTTGTGTACATATCAAACAACCGGTAATAATTATTAATTATACATTTTCCTATTTATTTTATAATATGATATATATTATTATCTAATATTTCTTAAATCAATAAAATTATAAATGAATAGGTTATATCAAATTTTAAAATGTAACTTAATTTTAAAATCTCTGTATATAATTAACTTGAAGTTAACATGTTAAATATGTTAAAAATTTAACTTATGAAATTAAAAGTTAGTTTCAAAAAAAAAGTAACGAATTAGTTAACTTAGTTAATATTAACTTAACGTATTAACTTAATTTTAATTTTTAACTCGTTAAAGCCCAGCCTTGCATTTTTGTATAGAATTAGCTAAGCACCAATATTTTCAGAGCTAAAAGTGTAATAGACTTGACGCTAACTCGATACACACGTACACACACAAATATTTCTTTTAATAAATATAGATGTGTTTTATAATTTTATTTCGTGAATACAATATTATAAAAAATGTGTGTTATTTGTAATAATAGTAATAATAATATCCTTTTAGAAATGTATATTATATTTAATCTGGTATGGTATTAAAACTGCTACGAATAGCCATTTCGATAGCATCCATGCATGTATCCTGAAATTCGTGTGACCACCGTACCATGTTGTACGTTTGTAATTTCCGCATATCTTCTGGAAGCATTTCTGGCCAAGTAAAATTATCTACTATGATGGGAATTATGTTCAGCTGGTTCTGCATTGCAGTCACAATTTCCTACAAACCGAGTATAAAAGTAAACGTAGTATATATTATTATGTATGCATAATAGTACGTTATGCTGCTGTTATGCGGCGTCACGAGATATTTCATTACCTTGTGAATCCAATCATTGCATTCATTATCTCCAATACATCGATCCAACGAATTTTGAGTTAATACAAGCACGAAGTTTTTCGCCTGCTTTAAATTTTTTAGTAGGTTATGGCCAAAATGTCCATTTTTCAAACGTACTACGTCGATGAAAACTCGATAATTTCGAATTTCTAGGTAAACTTTGAGTAAACTGCAAAAATAAATTTCAGTTGTAATAGCTATTAATACAATAATAAAGTTATTAAGTATTATTATTTTTAATTTTATTTCTTAAAGCGTTATCGTAATATTATTATTATACAGTTTAACTTTTGTTCCAATGAATCGATGTGTAAAATACAATACTTACCTAGCCAACTGAGATCCATTTGATCGCCTGTAACTGATAAATACATCGGTGATTTCTTCGTCCATTGATAATTGCATCATATTAATATCTGTGTAGTTCACAAATTTATACTAAATAATATGGAATTTTTTTTTATTTGCTTAATAAAATCGTTTACCTCTAATTGAATTTAGTATACGAGTTTGATGTATGCTGTTTGCGATTCCGCAATTGTCTGTAAGCTGCTTTACTGTTAAATTCCTGAATAATTATTTGATTCTTATTAGTAGAACTCGGATATTTATAGCTAAAATTTCGTTAAAATATGTAACGGAGTATGACATAAACAATCCTTTTCAAAACCACTAACAACCAATAAGCACACTCAACAAATGTAAGATACAGTTAAAAATGGTAGGTTTTACACAATAAAGTTTTAACGGTATAATGAGAAAAAACTGCATCAAACTAAAGACAACCATCAGGCAACAGTGCGATAATGACTCGTCATAACAACAACTTACAACCAATCGGCAACAACTATTATAATCCAAATGGGTCACTCTTCAATTTCAACTCTAACCGTCAAAAAGTCAACAAGAACTTCAAACATTGACGACCGGAGATCAGAATACCGACGTCGACCTTTTTCTGTGTAAACCGGACGAGGACAGCATTCTAATTTTATTCATATCACCGAGCAGACCAGTGTCGATCGCCCGATTCAACGAGATGAACGCGACCGTGACCAGCAAATAGTTACTGTCCAGGTCCAACCAGAATCAGCTGACCATAGTAGCTGTGGAACGGCGACCATCGAGCCGGCATCAACGAACCCGACGACGCTGACCACTTAAGACGACGATCGGAATCAGCCGGACCGGACGTCTTACAGCACGACACACGACTCTCGCCATCGACCCCACTCTCCACGGTCACTTGCTTAAGTACTGTCGACCCGAACTTCTTTCCACCGAGTAGTAGCCGCTTGCATAAGTTACGCGCTATCGGCGGGGGACTCCGTCCCACCTTATGACCTTAAATACTATTTCATGTTATGTGTGGTAAGACCGAACTAATAATATCGTCGGTCGAACACGAGTTCTCACCGCGTAAGCATGGCTAACGCACCCGTGAACCTTACTCGCCCCATATATTCTGTAATTAATATATTTGTATAAATAAAGGACTAGACGTGATCCTATAACTGAGGGGTATTCATTTTTACACGAAACGGTCGGTAACATAACCTACCGCACCAAGTGGTGTATTTGGGGGGGGGGGGGGGGTCTACGGGTCTGGACACCCCCCAAACCAAAAAAAAAAAAAAAAAATTCAATAAGTATTTAATTTTGATAAATGTTGTAAGGAATTTGGCAAACAATAATATATGGTTCGTTATGAACTAATTTAATATTATATCAAGTCATAAACTAATACGGAAAGAAAATAAATTTAGTTTCAAATAATGTACTTATTATCCTATTATATTTTTAATTATTTGTAAAACTATTATTCTTATAGCACCACTGGTATCGAATATAACAAACAAAATATAAAGTGATAATTAGTAAATTATTGTGACCGATTATGGTAACAAATATGTAATAACAATGTGTAATAATTTTATATTATTATTATTCTATTACAGTAAATATACAATTTATATTTGTATCTTGCGACTCCGTTCCTTTATGTGCCTGGGTTACTTGTTTTTCCAGCGAAAATTTGTGTATATTTAGATATTAAGTACAATGATGTTTTTTTTTTTAATATAGATATATATTTATTTATTTTAAAATAAATCAAAAATGTTATTATGTATAGTATAACTCATAATAATATAATATATATAAAAGCTAAAGTCCCACAAATATATTTTTATTAAATTATAACGAAATAATTAACATATTGTTATTTTTCGCTTAAATAATTTATTTCATCCAAATCGGAACACATTTTTAGATTTAATGATTTCAATATGAAAAACTTGTATTCAATTTTCAAAACTTATTTTAAAAAAAGAAAAGGTTACATAAAATTTTAGCTACAAAATAAATTGTGATTTTTTTATATTTTGACGAATTTCTTCAAAATTTTAGCTTTTAATTATTATTTTTGGAAAAAAAAAACTAAAAATAAATGAAAAAACTTGTTCTTTTAAGTTACTTGAAAAGAGTTAAAAATTTAAAAATATTATTATATAATGAAAATGATAATAAAAATATTTAGTGATCATTTTAAATATTTTCTATTTTATTATTTTTTTTTTTTTTGAAATATAATAAAATATCTAAAATTGATTGATGGACATAATAACTTTAAGGGTGAATATCGAATCTCGTAAACATTTAAACTTTAAATGTTTATGAAAAGTTGATTTGGCTTTTTTGTAGAATTATTTCTTTCATTTAAAGACTAAAAAACCAATCAAAAAACAAGTATTAAACTTTTAAATTTAAGGGATAAAAACAAAATATTTTTGAATTTCTAACTAAAAAATAATTTAGGTACTAACTTTTGTGGTTATAATGAATATTGTTAAAATTATAACTTTAAATGCTTAAAAAAATATATTGTGACCATAGATTTTCGATATTTTTCAACTGAGAAATTAGAAAATTATGAGGAGTTTTGGAATACATTTTCAAGGTTTTCTACCCAAAAATAATTTTTAATCATTAGTTATAAAACAAAAATTTAATATATCATATGTATTTTTGTTGTCTAAAATTAGTCGAAATATTTTGATAATTTTATAGTCAATAAAAAACAATAATAAAAACATTTGCATCAATGGTTATGATTATAACAAAAAATAAAACCGATTCTGTCGAAAATTGGGTTTACGTAAAAATTTTTGTGTATCCCTAATTCTTTGTTTATTTTTTTCGATTATAAAAATAAGTAGTGAGAAAATTTAGGTTTTTGAAATTTAATTATTCTAAAATATAAACAAAATACAATTTTATATCCAAAATCATCCCCGATTTTGAAAATCGAAATATTTTATTGACAATTGTTCGTGTACTAATCCACAACAACATAGAAAAAAAAAAAAATACGTATGCATCATTGTAAAATTAATACATTCATCGCTTCGCTCAGAATCTTAAATATATAATATATAATAACGCATATAAATACTGTATATTAGAATAATTAAAAAATTGAAAACCTGCTAACCTGATCGTGTTTCTGTTAACTCCTGCATTTAACATGGGATATGTGTACATGGTATACTTTGATCCGATCGACATTAAGAATGATTGTAAACCAGTAGAATCTTTACTACTGTAGTCAGCTGATTGTTTTAAATTGTCTAGTTCTCTCATAAATCTAGAAACAATAAATAATATAGTATTTGCATTAGGCATTGTGTCGAATTAAAAACTCTATGGTTGAGGTTGGTTTAAACTTAATATAAACAAAATTTAAAAAAACTACACAGCATGGCTGGGAAATCTAGGATATTATATTATTTCTGTTTAGTATTCACAATGCTGTGGATAATATGAAAATGCTGAATATAACTTCGATTATTTTCAAACACACAAAAGCTATAACAAAATAATATAACTGCAGTTCATATCATATTAAAAATAAACAACCATAAATTCTTTAATATGCATTTTAGGTAATAATTTTCTGATTAACTTAAATAAAAAAAGTATAAATTAAGTATTTATAAAACGTATCACTGGTTATACTGTAAGTTATGATGTGTGGCAAACTGAATACTTATATGCCTTATATTATCATACTTCAAAGAAATTGATATAGAAATCAACTATTTTTAATAAAAAAAACAAAACTTATGCATACGTTCTAAAGAAGGGTTAATTAAGTATATAATGCGAACCTTATGTATGATGTTCAATTAATATTCATCAGTGTTTTTATATACAGTATAAAATACTCTTTCAAATATTTTACAGTTTTGATCAATGTATTTTAATTTAATTTTTATATTCTTAGATTGTTTTTATTTAAATATTGTTGTTATTATATAATATTACTGTTTAATGAATGTTAGTAGTTGGTGATAGTTTATGGTATTAGTTAATTAATTTGATAAATTTTATTATTTAACACAAGTTCTTATATTTTAGTAACTAAATATTTCAAAAAATTGTATAAACTGACTTACAAAGAAAATTTTATACATTTATGAATTATTTATACCTTAGAAATTAGTCTTCATTATCCAAAAAAATTTAATATTGATTAATAAATTGATAAAGATTAATTGAAGAAGATAATTAATTGACAAATTTTATTAAGATGACAAGCTTCTATATCTAATTAAAAAAGTAGCAAGCAAGGGTACATGGTGATGAAATAAATTGCAAAACTACATACACAGAATAAAGATGAATAATAAAAATATAAATATTTTTGCAATTCAAAATCTCATGAAAGTTTGTTTTGTTGCAATAAATAATTAAATTTAAATTTAAAATGATTAATAATATCATTTTTTTTTTTTTAAATTTTGTTTAATATAATTCAATAATAAATCTATTTATTAACAATAGTTTATTGATTAATTAAACACATTGTATTTTATCTAATGTTATCAATATTTTTTAATGTATATTTATTTACTTAGTTTACTTACTACGTATACCTACTATCAAATTATTTTCTACAGTAATTAAACTTTATTCCTATGAACCATGGTTGTTATTATTATCAACCAAAAAATTGTTATGTCTGTTAACATTCACTAAAATCATCAAGTTAATGTGGACATTGTTTTTTAATTTAGTTTTTGCATGTTGACATTTACTTGTGATTGTTACGATAAAATTACCACACGGTCTTAAATATCTGATAAAATTTTTTTTTAAAACTAGATAATTTGAACTAATATAAACTAAATAAGACTTGATACTAGAAGTTAAAGATTGAAGCTTTTAAGTTGAAGTTAGGCCGACATAAAAAATACACAAATTATTTAAAAAGCCAATATAATAATTACCATTCTACTCAAAATCTAAATACTAAAGTAATTGGTTACATGATATAATTATTTAAATTAATTATTAACAGTTTTATTTTTGATAAAATAAATATTTTATGCCAAGACCAAGCATTTTCTAAATTAAAAAATACTGAAACGCTGTATGATATTTAACCTAATTCTACTAAACAAAGTAATTAACAGTTATAAGATATTAAATAAGGATAAACATATTCAGATTATATTTAATAAAAACTATTAAAAACGATTCGATCCAGATGGAAATATTATTAAAAAATTTGTGAATACAGAGCTTGAAATTGATTTAAAATATCGATTACAATCGTTAAACATTTTTTAAGAAATCAAATTTTAATTTTAAATTGAAAAAAAATGAAAATCATTGATCACTATAAAAATAATAACCGCCTTATAATAATAATAATAATAATAATAAAAAAAAAAAATAAGTATAACTTATAATTAAACAATAGCTAATAGTTCTATAATGCTGTTCATTGTAAGATAATAGTTAATAGATAACTAATATGTAATATGTTGTTTTCTTTTATAGCCACGCAAACGATGATCACGCATTTATGGCCTTTAAAGATTAAAATTAAAATTAAAATCGTAGAAACTTAAGTAGTATTTGAATTGATAATAATTGAATTTAAAATATAATTACAAATCACAAAATAATTAAATTTATAATGTGTAAAAGTATAAAAATTATAAAATTAATAAGTTATCTAATATTGAAATTAAAAAAAAAAAAAAAAATTGTAATTGAAATCTTGCTATTTAATTTCGATTTCAAGCCCGGATTGTGATATTACGTTAATAATATACGTCACACGCACTACCAACCTTTTTCTCTTAATATCATTCTGTATTCCAATATCTTCCCTCAAGTTTTCCTCGGTTATTTGTAACAAAAGATCACCATCAACAAGATTTTCTGATAAGTTATTGGCGTATTCCCTAAATCCACTTCGTTTGGCCCATTCATGTACGTCATCTACTGACCATAGAGGAACTTCTTCACTAAGTTGATGAGGTACTCCTTCATCGATCAATCGTAATGTTTTAGCAGCTAATTTGGACGCTATAATGTTTCCGTCACTAACCACTTTTTTTAATGGTTCAATCACGTTGATTGCTTTGAATATGCTGATCATACCAAGTTGCTTTTTAATCCCGGCATCCATGCAAAAATGGAATGCAGCCAAGTTGCACGCAGCCTCACAAACGGAATTCAAAACTGGGATGAGTTTCTTAAGCCATTTTTGACTTTGACCTTGAGAATGTGGAACTATATCGGATTTAGCAAATTCTGTCGATATGTGCGAAGTGTTTAATGGATTAATCAAATTTAAGGTTTTAGATTTGTTTATGGTTACCTCGTCTTCTTTAATAGTTATCAAAATGACCATTGCTAAGAAAGCATAATACTTGATATTAACATCTGTGTTATGTACCAATGTGAACAACCATGTGGGTACGTTATGCTTTATCATATGATCTTGGCCTTCTGGTCCTCCATACAGCGATAAGTTTGCTAGAGCACTGGCGCAATATTCCAGTGTCATAATGTCTCGGTTTCGATACTCGTAGAGTAATATGTCCAAACCACCAAGTTGTATTACACTGCTACTCATAATTTCTCTGTATTTAAATAATTTTTCAAGAATTCCTAAAAAAATAAAAAAAATGTATTGTAAACAATAAATAATAGGGCTAGTCAAGGGAAAATTTGTAAGCATTCAATGCCATCTCATATGACAAAATTAAAAAACAAGTTATTTTTCATAAAAATTAAGAACAAAAAAGAAATTATATTTTACAGATAAGTATTAAAAAAAAAATTTCTCACCAGTGCATATATTTAATTTATCAATTGAGCTAATTTGTGTCTTGTATTCACATATTACATGCAAAACTTTATCCACCCCCTTTTCCAATACATAATCACGATTTTTTGTCGTCAAACATTGATCTAGTAATCTAACGCTGGAGAACTGTAGGTTTTGATCATTGGACACACAATTGTTGATCAACAAATATAGTCCACCACAATCCCGTAATGAGTTGCATAACCAGTACCCAAGTTTGTAGTTGGGCACAGCCCATGCTTTGCATATCATATCAAATATTTTGTTGATTATTTTATTCTGAGTTCTGAAGTGTACATTCTCATCATACATTAGTGCATTGATGGTGTTCTCTAGATACGAAGAATATTTTTGAATTACATGTTCAACGTCTACATTATTGACGACATTCAGCATCAGGTCGAGATCATTGAATTCAATATTCAAGAGATTGTCTTTAGAATTGATCATAATTTTAGCTGTATATATCTTGCATTCGGATAAAAAACCGTTGTGTGAAGATTAAAACTAAAAAAAGAAAATATTAAATATTATATTAAATTAAACAACATTTATGAAAATAGTTATTTTCAGTTATTGTTACGGCTATTTAAGATGAACGAGTAATGAAAACATTATGATACTTGAACTCACGAAAATTCCATTTACAATTAGGTGAGATTTCCAATACTAACTCATGAACGTTCGTTATTTATTCATTTTTATTATTTTCAATGAAAACAATATTTGTATTGAAACTATAAATTACAAAAATAATAAATAACTTTAACTAATGAATTACAAAAAAAAAAAAAAATGTGTATAATAATAAAACTTAATTATAGTAGTCAGTAATTTTTTTCTGAATAATACTTTAAATTCCGAACAATTTACAAATACATTTACGAACAAATAGACTTATACCGTCCAGATTACTGCATTCGACGGGTTATCATAGGTTCGGACTATCAAGGTTCTACTGCATATGGTATATTTCAACTTTTTAGTGCATAAAAATTCGTGCTCTAATAATAAGTACTCGCTGTGTGTACTACCTAACACAATGTCATTATTATAAAAAATCAATTATCTACGGTAAAATATAATTTTAAAAATGCAAAAATCTATAATTTCATTTATTATGTAATAAAAATCAAATATGTAGATAAATTAAAAAATACAACCATACAAGCTCATTTAGTACAGGATACTATGAATGTATTTCTACATAATTTTATTCGTATATTTATAAAACTAGTAGTTAAAATCATTATATACTAAAATTCAAATTATTAATTTTTATTTAATGTTTGTGGAGAATTAAAAAAAAATTGTGTCATTAAAGTTTTTTTATTTTTATTATTATTAGCTTAAGTAATAATTTATTATAGCTCAACAATTAGAGAACAACTTAACAATAGTAACGTAGCATATTAATTTATAGATATTGAAATTATATTTTGAATATGTAAAGTGACGTGAACATAATAATTTCATCAAAGTTTTATATTTGTATTTATAATCTTATATTTTAGAAAATAGATACTACAATCAAATATGAAAATTATGAATAAATTATCAAAAATTTGAAAATAAGATTATAGTTTAACTTAACAATTATTATATAGCTAAAATATATAACATACAACAATCTATTTTAATAGTTTGAATTTTTAGGTACTAAAACATTACGAATACCAATGTTTTAATTCATTCATAGTTTTTATTTTGTATACACAATGTTATTATGTAAATCATTAAACTTGTATTTTTTATTCAAAGCTTTATAATAAAATATTTAAAATATTAAAAACAAATTATTTGATAACTATTATTTACAGGATTTAAATTCCTAATATTTATATCATTTTTCCAAATTGCAGATTATTGTTTCAATGCTGAAAATTGTATTATTTTTAATTTACCATTAAATTAATGATAAATTAAAAAGTAAAAAAAAAAAAAACAGCTTAAGTCGTTAAACAGTAAATACTCAGAATAAATGTATTACTATTAATAAAAATATAAATTACGTGTTATTTTCGTAACGTGGAATCACATATCATAATGATTTTTTATGACGTATAGTATATATCATTATGAAAATATTTCATTTTAACCTCCATATTAATTATTTCGACAGTATATTTTAACTACACAGAAAGTTTTTTAAATTTTAAAATGGACTCTTTAAATCTGAAAATATGAATGATGGTTTAAAATGAATAAAATTGTCATATTAAATACGTATGTACATTTATAAAGTTATCATTAAGAAGTTGAAGTTTCGTTACCTAAAATATTTAATAATATATTGAGAAATAGTAATAGGTGTTATATTATTTCATATGAAACATTATTTTCATATGTATTTACGCCAGCATATTAGTTAGCATTTCTTCATTGGATGTTGCATGGTAAAAAATGTTATGACAATTGATAGTATATTAATAATGTATTTTAATAGTATTCGAGTAATGGTAACACGGCGTTATGAATAGGCAATTTAACTACATCACAATCGTTAATTCGTTTTTTTGTTATAGCTTTCCAAAAACTTTACGCACCCACCATCGATTCATCAAATTAGTGAGAACTACAATATTCTCAACCATAGTTAACTTTAAATTTATTAATGAACTGATAACTGCAGACATGAAAAAATAAGCATAACTCTACATACTTTTATAATTAAAAACAACGTAACATACACATACATCATGTGATGTAACGTATGATTGGTTGAAATGTTTTGCATACGAAAATTACCAGACACATTGATAGATTACTAAGCATCTTATTCAACACGATCAGGTTACAGTTTTATCACTGATTTTCTTATTTCATGTGAACGTTTGACCACTTGACACACAAATACTCCACCATGTTAATCTGAACATAACGATTTAGCGACAATAGCGACTTAGAAATATAAATTTTTATAAATTTCTATAGAATATTATTACAGTCTCACACAATAAATTTACTTTTAAATATATTAAAAATTACCCAACCAAATAGCCAGTTCAGCATTTAAAGCGACTTGTTACTATAATCAGTATAATCTTTTCAAAAATTTAAAATAATTTTTAAGTTTTATTAGATTAGTCTATTGTTGGATGGCCTAGTTTTCTATTAATGATATTACTTTTCTGTGTATTTATCTAACATATAGTTTTGTTTTTGTATAAATACTGTTTATATATAAATAACGTGTACAATTCATAACGAAAATAATTTATAACTTTAAACTAACTTACATTTTTTATATTAATTAAACTTGACAAGAAAAAATAAAAATAGTGCTTTACTCAGCCTTGCATTTATTTATGATTAAGCCATTTCATGAAATAAAATTCGTAATGGGTTATAATTAACAATAAAAATATTTTTTATATTTTTATCTTTAAAATGTATACTATTTCAGTTTTAAATATTAATTAATATCTAGTTTATAATAATTCAAAAATACATAGACACTAGACGTTAAACGTTAGATAAATAAAAACGATAATGTCATCAATTTTAAATTTTTACAGTTATAATACTGTTACTAGATTCTAATCGACATTCTACATATTGATTGACCTGCATTATAAAATATTTTATATTATTATTTAGTTATAAAATGTTTCGATTTTAATCGAAAATAAGTATTTAAATTTTACATTAACAGTTTTTTGATAAAAATATATAATTTGGGTAAAAATTGTATGTATTAAATTTGAATAGTGTGTAATGTTAAGTTCAAATAAATGTAATACAATAAATACCTTTTTAGTGACAAAAATCATACGAACCAAATCTATAGCGATTGCGATGTTGAATCTGTACTCAATTAGTATTTAAAACTGCCTAATTAATCTTTAATGTCTGCTCAAGCACGTTCATATGTTATGGTAGTATGTACATAAGAAACATTATAAAATGTTCCATTATTCACTAATACCGTGAAATTAACGTCAAATAAATACGTGATAATTTAATGTGACATGCTAAACAACAACTGATGACTGATAGTATCTAATGATTTTTAGTTGCCACCGCTGCAACATATATACTAATTTTTCATACAAAAATAACAAATATGATGGGTTTTTCGGTTGTTTTTTTACTAAAAAAACTTAATTAAATTATAATGACTCTATAAAATATTAACATTAAAAAATACATACCATTTTATTATTGATTATTCGACTTATTACCTTGTATATCGAAACATTTTCAACTGAATACTTCAACAAAAAGTTATTTATTAACGTTTACGTGAACTAATCACGTACAGTAAAAAGTGAAAAATAAATGGTTAATTATAGCAAATGCTAATTCTTAATATTGCGAATTCTGGGTATATTATCTTATTAACTTTCGTCATGTCATATATATGTTAACTATTTTTCAACAGCAATAATATTTACGTACTATTATATTATTGAACAAATAGTTTAACGTAGTAAACAAAAAACATTTGAAGAACATACTCGTTGTAAATGTTAGAATTCTTTAAATTCTTTTACAATTCTAAAAGTAACAGATAGGTAAGATTATAATAATAAGAGTAAATTACTAACGAGTATATTATATTAAATGTTTTTATCATCTATTTTCATTAATCAATAATACATATTTAAAAAAAAATCGATCATAAAATCAGAAAAGTATTTTATCTTTACTTTATTAAAAGTCATTATAATTTAGATTACAAGAGAAATGTATTATCAATAGATTTTAGTAATATTCACATAGGCATTTCATTGCATACAAATTATTCCATATTATAAAATGAACGTGACGATAATACAAAAATAACAATTATCATTCGCTTAACAACAATAGCTAGTAGAATCATAATTAAATGATATATTAAAAAAAAAGGTTATTTTTAAAAACATGTTTTTTAGAAATATGTATTACTTATGTGAAAAAAATTTCTTGAATTAATTTTCGACAAAAAAAGGATTAAGTAAAAATTATTTAAAGATATGGAGATCAATAAAATACAAACTTAAATCAAAAATAAATATGCAATATTATAAAGCATAACAAAATTAAAAGTAGTTTAATAATCTATAATATTTAAGCATTAATCGTTAATTGAAAAAAAGATTATAAGAACAAATAGAGAAGTTAGTTGAATAAGTACACAAAGATACAATTAAAATACTTTGCAGGAGACTGTATTTTTTTTCTGGTAAATTTTTCTAGTTTATAACTTTATCAACTATTATATTTTATATATTATATTTCAATTACAACAGTCAATATTTTATTATTTTTAGTTTATACCTATTTCATAAAATATTTTGTTTTTAAATTCTAAGGTTAGGTTCTTCTAAGGAAAAAGACCTCTGCTTTATTGTAGCTATTATTGAGTTCTGTATAAAACAGAAAAGTTGCTTGAATCTTTAAAATTAAGATTGTTAATACCCTTAATATATTTTTCAAAAATTAGTTTTTTCTAGTACATTCTCTATAATGGTTGCATAATTGCAAAACACACAAAAAATAACTCGGAAAATGGGAATATTTATTCAACATTGGCTTTCAATAAAATACATTTTTTTTATTCAATAGTAATTTTTCTTTTTTTTTTTTTTGATAATCGAAATTTTAATAATTTTTTTTTTTCAATTTATGATGTAACATTTTTATTTTTCTATAAAATAATTAAAAACGACAATTAAGTTTAAGGTTTTTCATACATTTTCTTATAGTAATTAAAAAATATTAAACTATTAAATATAGTCTCATTTTTTTCATTTTAATTTAAACATAATATTTTCATGAAATAGAAACTTGAAACTTTTTCGTGTCATATATTATTATTTTAAAAATGTTTATATTAGTTTTTAGCTATTTTTTTCAGTAATTTCTTGGACATTAATAACAATAATATTATATAAAAGCGATGTTTTAAAGAAAAATAGTTTAACCTACCGAGTACCGGTTTTACTAAATATAATATAGACATATTATGTTATTTAATTTAAAATAAGATGACACACCTTATCTTCGCTCACAATCGCTATTTGTTTACAGTAATTTATTATTTTATTCAAATTAAACTCATTATTTTCAACAATCTACTCAATGACGAGGTGCACTCGCAAACTACTATATTATAGCAAAATGAATATCTCGATTTTTCCTCTAATATTTTATAATTTATAGTAATATTCCATATTTTCTGATTAATTCATAAGTATTATGGTATAATGACTTACGTGTCAATAATATATACCAATGATAAAAAAATCAAAACTTTTTTTCTTAAAATGCATATTTAATTATACTTACAGTTCTTCGATTATTATGTATATTGTATTACCATTGTGGGAGTGTTCGGAGAGAATGCATTCGTTCATTACAATAAAATCAGTATTTTATGTTTGCTGATGTCGTAAATTTAGTTTTAAAATTCAACACATTCGTTGATTCTCATTGGCAAAATAAATAACATTATTCAATTATTCTTAGAAACCTTAACCACGGGTTTATCCCTCGATATTTGTAAATGTAGTTCTATGCCTTTCTTTAAATTTCATTTTTCTATTGTTGTTGATAATGATATCAGTGAAACTGTTTTTAAAGTATAAAAACATGATTAATTAATTTTTTAATACTTCATTTACATTCCATTGCAATTGATAAAAAAAAAGATAAAAAAAAAGTATTGTGTTGTAAGGCGTTTTATCTTTTTAGTCATTTTTATTTAGTGGTGGATGTATTTGTACTTAATATAAAATAGTTGCGCTTATTATGTCCTTGTAATGCAATTTAATGCGTTCTATTGTAGAATTTCAGCGTTTGTATAATGGAATAGTTAAACTATTAATCACAAATATCTTGTATAATATATACAATGTATAGTGTAAATTCTTGTTTTTAATAGGTTTATTTTCAAATTTTTTGCATACTTAGAATAGACAACTTGCAGCATAATTATTATTCTCTTATTCTTTTATCTCTAAAAAGGTCCTCGCCTGCTGACAAAAAATTTCAAGTCTACTTGGGTTTTTAGTAAAGAACCATCAGATAAAATAGATTCTTCATTTCTCTTTTATTATATTAATTTTAAAATTCCTTCTGTATATTTACATTATCGTAATTCTTAATCTGTATCTGTATGCGGTTGAGACTTGTTTGCACATATATCAATAGATTTTATAAATTTACGACAACTCGTTTGCGTACAAAATTGTGAACAATAGAAATTTATTTGTAGGTACAGTTTTGGGTATATAGAGTGTCTTAAAGTATAATGATTATTTTTAATTCTGATTTATCATCATTCGTCACCGAACAGTAATAATACGTTATAATAATCATGATAACTGTGTTCGTCAAGTATATAAGTCGTATGGAACAAGCTTTAATCTTTATTGCTTTATCTATAAATCTAATACAAATATTAATGGAAATTCAAGACGATACTGATTTAAAAATTAATTCAATAAAAAAAATAAAGAAAATACCCGTAGAAACGAAATATTAAAAAAACAAAATTATGTGAAAACAAATATACCTGATTAATCTGATTATAAATCAAAAAAAAAAAAATAAAAATATGTACTATTTTAATTTATTTTCAACATGTATTATTTTAAGGATCTAATTGTAAAAAAAGAAATATAGTAATTATAATTAAAATTGTTTGTTTTTTTATCAACAAAACTGTAAATAGTAATAGTTTATTGATCATTAGAGAGCTATGCTTAATTAAATAATTCAAACAGTATTTTTATAACCCACTAGTCTATGATACCAGAATATGATTAGACAGTAAGTCTTAAGCTTTATAAAGGGTGAAGGAAAATGTTGTAGAGTATAATAATTTTCCACCATCACCAATGTCTAATTCTGTAAATTTAACGCATTTACATGTTTTATTTTTTTATTTTTTAGTGTATATTTTGCCTGTTTTTAGTGCAAAATGCATGCACACATTTAACACTTTTTAGTGCATTAAATGCACAGCCTTATTAATGACCAATTCAAAAATTTGGAGGTACGTACGCAGATTATGTACATTCTATACGTAGGTAAATTTCTTTGAAAAAATGTTTCTATTGTTCGCAAATCATGCACATATGAGTTGTGTTTTTGTGCGCAAATGAGTTGTAAAAAAGGAAAATGTGCGTAAATAATGAGTTTTAGCCCCAGTATGCACCACTTAAAAGTCCTTACACCCAAGTAAGAATTTACTAGATTGATAATTTAGAACAGAGGTCGGAAACCTGTAGCCCCTAAATATGCAATCTATGGCTTTTTGAAAAATACATTAATACCGAGACCCGTTAAATATAAATTATAATTCGATTATAATTTTTTTTTCAATTTACAATATAGTTTATTTTATTTTTGTACTTTATATTGATAATAACTCTGAATTTCAAGATTATGGAGTTTATTTCATATAAAAATTAAATAAAATTTTATCTACCCCTCTCCGACAAAAAAAAAAATGTTTAAACTTGTGTGGCTATAGTTTTGTGATTTTAAAAATGGCTCTTTCCAACGAAAAAGTTCCCAAACTTTAATGTAGAATCATTTTTTTGTTATTATTAGTATTTTTTTTATTTGAATATTTTCTCATTTTCGTTTTTGTTAATTCAAGATACATCAGTAATATTATTAATATAAAATTGCTCATAAGATATCTATCCGTACTTTTAATAAATTAATTTAAAAAATGATGGTATCAACTTATTCATATCATTATATAATGTAATCTTAAAAATATAATTTAAAATATACCTTATATAGCTGTATCTAGAGCTATTTAATGTAGAGGAGAAATTAATGAACAAATAAGGACACTAACTAAGGACATTACAAAACTTCTTAAAAGTAAATAAAAAGTGATATATTTATCAATATATACCTATGTTTTATTTTCTAGAACCTAGCTTCGTGCCAGCATCTACATAATTATATCTCTGTATTTTATTTATTTAAAAATATGAACTTACTCATTAAAATTATACTAAAAATACTTATTTATTTGTCACATTATATTTCATAAATATTTAATACGGGATGATTCTTTTATCAAATAATACTCATTATTTAAAAGCATTTATAAAAATATTATTTTCATAAAATTTCCAATCAAAATAAAAAAAAAAATAATTTTTTGAGTTTTCTTTTTACTTTTTTGGAAGATAATATACATTTTTAATTTAATATTCGAAGCATAATATTTTTTGGTGTATTTCGATATATAAGTATTGAATTTCGGACTAGTAATTAATAAATTATATATACTCGTATTTTAAGTCTAAGTGACTAAAATTTAAGCATACATTTCTTTTTAAACGTTAGTAAATTTTGAAAAAAAATGAGTGTTCTTTGATATATAAGCCAATAATTAGTATACGTATATTGTAAATATATATATGGCATATGTTAAACTTATAAATTGGTTATTCAATATATTTATAATTTATATAGATTGATAATTTAATAACTTTAAAAAGTAGACAATTTCAACTTAACAATTTGAATTTTAAACTATACTAATCTCCAACCCTACTACTATAGCTACTGCGAAACACAACAACATGACCCATTGAATCTCCAGTCTCCATGTTTGAATACTGCACAAGACTGGACGAAGTATCATGTATGATGTACTGTCGACAAGAAAAGCCAGTTCACTCGCTTATTTTCGTTTCTACACACCATATCATAGATTTATATTAATGTTCGTGTACGTATGAAAGTGCATGAATTTTGGACGCTTACGACGTATCCTTATTTTATTACTTTTAAGCAGCACGACATTCATTAAAGCCTGCTTTATAGGACCATAAACATGTCAACCACTTACTTCAGTTTTGCATCAGGATTATTTATAAATTAAATGTAATTAATTGTATTTGAATTGTTGTTGTTTCTTAATGTTTAGTAAAATCGGTATTAAATAACAATTATACATGGAAGAACCTACAAATAAATTATTTATGTTATATTGTTTATTTATTTATTAAAATTTTAATAATTAACTATATCTTAATATTTTCTCAACATGTATAGTATATTTTAACTATTATCCACTACATGTGATATTAATCTATTTATTTATCACATAATTAATTTTTGTATACACTGGTTGACTTTATAACTACAATTTTCATCACCTAAGTACATTAAACCTAAAATATACATTTTTATTAATACTTGTATATTAACATAATATCTATTTTTTTCTTATGATATAATAACTTTTTTTAATATCTTGGTCTAACAATACTTTTTTAGAACTTTAATCTCAATCAAAAGGTTTTCGTATTAAACTATTTTAAATGATTAGTGTTGAGATTAAATTAAATTAATTCTATTTTGAAATGTTTTATCCTTCATTTTATCTACTATTATTGGTATAATTTTATATAATGTTATCATAATTATTTATTTTGTTAAATAAAATACAGTTGTCAATTTTTATGGTAAAAAAAAAAAACGTTCAGAGCGTTATAACTTTTTTTTATTATTCAATACATAATAAAGTATATATCACCTAAACAACATATTTTATTGAAATATTAATGTGTTTAGATTAACATAAATAATTGTAACTTATCATGATAAATTTAACATACTATATTTGATATAATACTTGAAATCCATCAAGATCCTGAAGTCAAGAAAATATACATATATCTTTCAGCGCGCATTTTTACTTTTTGCACGCGACAAAATATTGTTTATTATTTTCACTTCTCTTGAATCAACTTCAAAGTTATTGATTTTAAAGTTAATATGTCAACGTTTACCCTTTATAAAGTTTAGTATAATGCTACGGTGAAAGCTGTTTGAGATTCTGCATTCACATGCGAGTTGATCATCTGTTAAAGACCTAAGACATAATATCATCCATCGTGCATTAATACACTAAAATGTAAAAAATAAAGTAATAATTTTAATCATTAAATGTAATTAACAAGAAATAATATTAATGAACATAACCAAAAGAATTGTACTTTTATTTTTGAAGAATAATAATAACTCCTAAATATCTAACCTGATAGAATATTTGTCAACTCCAGCATTCAACATTGAATACGTATAAACAGAAAACTCTGGCTTTATCGATTGTAAAAACGAGTTTAAATTGGTAGGATCTTTACAGCTATAATCGGCTAATTGTTTTAACTTGTGTAATTCTCTCATAAATCTAGAATTAAAAATAATGAATACGAAATATAATGTATTGTAATAATAAATATTAACTAATCTAAAAATATTTTTAATTTCACACTGATGATGTGAAATACTCGAACACGAAAAAAAATAATGATACCTAAAATATATAATTATGAATTTTGATCTGTGAATGACAACATAACATTGCAACAAAATACGTACATTATGTCAATGTTATTATTAATTGTAAAATGTTTAATACATATTATATATGTATACTACTCTAAGCCATTGAGATATATCTAAATAGGTTTAGGAGTATAGAATATTTCACTTTGCAATTTTTTACTTTTAACCTTTTTTTAAACTTAAAATTTCATTGGTATAAAATAAATTTCAAATATTTGTTTATTGAATTTATAATAATAATATGATTCATTTTAATAAATTATTTTTATCTAAAATAATTTAATCTCGGTAGTCGATATCTTCAATGATATTATCAATTTGTAATAAAAACAAATAAATAAAAAAAAAATGGGCTGATCAATAATATCAATTAAATTCAATACTAAATAAATTAGCTATAATTCAATACCTAATAAAACTCTCATATAAAAAGCATATGTAACTTATGATGAATTATAAAATTAAAAACATAAACACCATGAATTTGTGTTCTAACTAAAAAGTAAATTAATGTTTATTTTTAGTGAACATTCATTTTATAATGCACCCATCACACAATGCGTTGATTTATTTGTATACGATAAACATATTAAATATACATTATATCTTATAATATTTCCAAGAACTTACCTAAAAGTAATACAATTTTAAAAACAGATTTTAACCCAAAAATATAATAAATTGTTTAATTGGATATGCTATTTATTTTTTCACACAAGCATAAAAATTTAGTTTAAAGCGTTTTTACTGTGGCTAAGAATTTTAAAATTCCTATACAAACCTTTTTCGCGTAATTCCGTTTTGCATCTTGAAGCGTTTTTTTAGGCATTCCTCGGTCAACTTTAATAACCAATCGCCATTCATCTGATTGTCTGGTAATATTTCTGCACATTCACCAAATCCAACACTCTTGATCCACTGGAGAACATCTGTAACTGTCCACTGTGGCACTTCTTGGCTGAGTGATCGTGGCACTTGTTCACCAATCCACTGCAACGCTTGTGCCGCTAACGCAGATGTTACATTATTGAGAGAAACAACCAATTTCTTCAGTGGTGCAACAGCGCCGATCATTCTGAAAGTTTCAGCGACCTTACTGTAGGGACACTGACTTTGGAGATAAGCTATCGCGCAAAAATGGAAAGCAGCTAAAGTGCATGCTTCACGACGGTCGCAGCTCAAAACTGGAACAAGCCGTTGCAGCCAATCTTGGCCTTGATCTTGAAATTGGCCAAGCATCATATCGATTCTAACAAAATCCGTCGGAAAATGTGTAGCGATAAAAGGATCGATCAAATCCAGGGTATCACAATTGTTCATGGCCGTCTTAATATCCTTATCAGTTATTAAAACAGCCGCAGCCAGTAAAGCATAATACTTAACGCTATCGTCTGCATTGAACGCCAACGTGAACAGCCAGGTATGTGCGTGATGATGGATCATAAGCTTGTGAATCATGGAATCACCATACAGTGATAAGTTTGCCAATGCACAGGCACAATTTTGTAAAGTCGTGGTATCTTGACTCTGGCATTCTTTCAGAAGTATCTCTAGACCTCCCCATTCGATTATAACCATACACATCTCTTCACTGTGTTCAAATAATTTTGCGAGTAAACCTAAATAAACATCATAATTGCTTTTAATAAAACTATTACTAATAATTAAAAAGATTAAAAAAATTATATGCTGTATAGTAGGTTTAGTGGGTTACAGTTAATGGATGTAATACATAATTTTATATAAAAAACGATTCTGAATGGCGAGAGTCTATCAACTTATATCACCGAATATATTTCATAATACGTCATTTTGTATAACTATTAAAGTAATTTATATGACTATTAGCATTATAGTAGGTTGACACATAATTTGTTTCTGAAAACATAATCTTTATTATAAAATCAGTGTTTAATTATTAAATAATGTTTATTATTGTTCTTAACTTTTGAGTTAATACTACGTTACCATAAAATAGTATGAATAGGTTCGTAGTAAAAACAGATAATATCTTAAAATTAATCTACATATTTTTAAAATATCATTACATAATATAGTTAAATTCATAATACACCTACGTAAAAGTTTTAAGTTCTCACGAATAATCTTAATGAATATTTTTGAACTAAGTAATTAGCATGGTTAAATAATGTAATGGCTGGACAAACAATAATAGTACTCGTATTTGTATATTTTATAGAATTTTTAGTTCCAGTATGAAATATCTTTAAATATTGTATTAATTTTAACACCTATTAGCCATAAAAATTGAAAATTTTATAAATATTTTTTTATAAAATATTTGTAATTTAAAAACTTTCATGATTTTGTCGAGATTTTTAAACATTTGGACTTAAAATTCCTAAATTATTTGTTTCAAATATTTTTATATATATAAAAAAAAAACTTATATGAAATTTTGAGTAAAATTTACAATTTCACATATTTTTTTCTGAACAGTCTAAAAAATAGCTAAGTAAGCTATAAGTTTGATTTGTAGTTAATAGATCTTAATTATAAAGTTTTGTTTTGTATATTTTTGCATATTTCTGTATTTTACGGCTTTTTTATTGTATACGTATATATGATTTTTAAATTCATAATATGTAATATTTTTCTTTTTTTAATTAAAATAACGTATTTATAGTTTATTTATAGTCCTTGTAATTTGACGAAGTCGCTTTCTTATCCTATCTGAGACCTATCGGGACAAGTAGTAATCTGTTATTGAGTAGATTTTAGTGAATTATACATTCGTCGTGTTTGTCGTAATTCGAGTGTGCGTAACTTCATTCCATTTTATTTATTTATATTAAATGAAAATAAAAGACTTTTTTTAATCGATGTTTTTGCATATTTTTTATTTTATAGGATTATCTATAAAATAAGAGCATAAATTCATATTTTATAATGCGTATTTCTGAGGTTTTTAGAGCATATATAAATCCGGGCCCTACCGAAAACTAACATTAAAATGAAAAAAATAGCAAACTTCATTGATCATTGTAAAATTAATATACATTCATTGCTCTGCTCAGATTCTAAAGTTACAGAATATCAATATTTTATATGCATGTACGTATAAATATAATAATGAGTGATTTAAAACTTAAAATTTACGATTTAAATTTAATTCGTGTACTTAACCTTATACAGTGCTGATGTAGACACGGCCATATTATAATTTTTTTTATTACTTTTAAATTTTATCTATTTATAAGTTAGGAGCAAAATTCAAAATGGAGATTAAAATATAAATTCGCTCATAATAATATTACCAGTAATGACTTTCGATTGATCAGCTGTCTTCTTTTCTTGACACTTAAACTTGAGTATCACGTACTTGATTTGAATTAGACCATTTTTAATCATGTAGTCACGATTTTCTGAGTTCAGGCATTCAACCAAAAGTCTAGTACTAAAAAATTGGAGTATCGGATCTTCGGATACGCAGTTTTTTAATAGAAAATCCGTTCCACCACAATCTCGGAACCTGTTACATAACGCATACCCGACCTCATGAGTCGGCAATGTCCATGAATTTCTAATCAAGTAGAACAATTGTGTAAGCACAGTCGATTCCTGGACGTTAGTATACTTTCCGATAAAGAGACTTTTAGCAGCGTTTTCTACGTACAGCAAATACCATTGTAACATGTTTTCTACATATTTTGGCTGCATAATACCTTGCATCATGTCTAGATCATTAACTTTTTTCTTTGAGTTGCCACTTCTAGTTTCCGGGTGATTTATTATTATGTGAGGTGATGATTCGCCGTTATCGGGAGAAAAATCGATCTGTGTAAACAACACCAACAGTGTATGTACAAAGTTAGCAAAATAGTCTATTTCAAAGAAAGTTATGTCTAATAAATACTTTATATATATATATATATATATCAGAAGATTACTTGATGAGTAATGACAGCATCATCGGAAGTCAGACTCGCCCGAACATCGTTTTTATTGAACACCGAACTTAACTGCGATTTATTCATTGAGGAAATCATTGGGTTCTGTTGCAATGCACCCGGAGCCATTAAGTTTATTATTATCTTGTTTGGTAATAAATTCCTACAAAAACTATTCAATTTAGGAAATTATTTAAATAATTTAACTAACCGTGAAATAAAGTAGGTACTAAAATGTTAAGCTAGTAGGCACTGTTCTTATATATACATTAGGAGTCGATCAGGTCACTATAATAGATGTATTCAATTTGAATTTAATGATGTAATCATTATATACAAAAAATGATTACGAGCGAAGACGGTCAGCCTATATTATTAAGTATATTTCATGATATGTTTTTTCATCAACAATATTATTAAAAAATATCGTTACTAATGTTTGCAAAAAAATAAATCATTTATAATTTATAATTTATTATCTTTATTATAAATACTTCTAATACTTAACTATTTATTTATTATTTCAATACTCAAAATATCATAAATATAGCAAGGATTTTTGTACACTAAAAAATCGTAAAATATGTATTTAAAAATATACACTTAAAAAAATTCCTTTTTTTCTATAAAAATTTAATTTATTTTAATTATTTTCCTTTATTTAATATGCTATACATATTTATGTATGAGAAAACAACAATATAGTCAATACAGATTTAATATAATTTATCCACTAACCAAATGTTTACACAAAAATAATCTTTATCGTCTTTATAACTAATTCACATTTTAATATAATTGTTGATCTTAATTCATGAAATATATTTACTGAAGTGCTTAATTTTCGATAAACTATCAAAATATGCACTAAAAATTTAAAATATTTTATTAAAATCACCAAAAATATGAATTTTAAACCCAAAAATGTGCATTAAAAGATTTGAGTATTTAATCACAAATGTAGTGAAATGTATTAATATGTACACAAACATACGATTAAGTTAACTAAAAATAATATGTAAATACATGAAATTCCTTGATCTAATCATCAATGACATTCTAAGTGAATTTAGTATCATACACAAATAATAACATTTCTTTTATATATTATAAGTTGAATGTTTTTTTTAAAATTAAAACTTGATATAAGATTTTATTTAAAAATTAAAAAGGGGTAAGTATATGGGTATCACTTTACTATATACTAGGTATCAAGTGGGTCATTATAATAAATATATTAAATTTGAATTTAATGATAGATTCATTAAACACGAAAAATGATTTTAAGCCGATTATACCAATAAGTGATAATTTTTTTTTTTATATACTTATTGAAGTCATTTATTTTATTTTTAGTATTAAATTAAGTTAAGGTTTTTTCTGAAAACATTACATTTATTATATTATTAGTATTTAACCGTTATAATAATATTATTATAATTTATATAATCTTTATTGTAGATCTTTTGGTTCTAGAATGAAATATTTATGAGGAACATATGAATTGTAATACTTAAGTTATACAAATTTAAATTTTATTTTAGAGTTTACTAAAATATACTTACAGCATGTTTATTTTTGTGATTTCGACGAGTTTTATAAAAATTTGAACTTAAAATGCAAAAAAAAATAGATCTATATTTTATAATTTTTATACATTATGAGAATAAGTTGAGTGAAATCTAGTATTAAACTTTCAAAGATTTAGACCCCAGAAAATAACTTTTCACCGACATTTATAGAATCAAAATATTTTTAAAATTATACAATATAAAAAAATGATAATATAAACATCTAATGAACATCTTTTTTATCATTTTTTATTTTTGAATTATAATAAAACAAAGAAATACATTTTATCAAAAACTGGTCTAGTATAAAAGTTTCCATTTTTACTTAATTTTTTTTGATTTTTTTTTTAATTAAAAAAATATTGAATTTTTTTTACTTTTGACTCCATAAAGAACAAATTAGATTCAATTGCTACCAAAAACCACCTCAAAATCTTAAAATCGAATTTTTACTACCACATATGATATATCAACATAATAACAGACAGAAAAAACACACATCATTGTAAAATCAATACATTCTTCAGTGCGCTCAGCATCTAAAACTCCAAATATTTGAAATATTTATTTTTAGCTGTGATTCATGTGAAAATAGATAACAATTTGAAAATAATAAATATGTGAAGTTATCAAATGAATCCTAATAACTATTACGAAATAAACATTCAACGATTAACGGAAAATGAGTGATCTAAAAATGTACCACATAAATTAAAATACTCCACTAATAATATTTAATACGTATGTATTTATAGGTGCTAAATGAAAAATAAAAATAATGTTTTTATCAGCACTTGATATAATTGTTAAAATACAATCTATACGAATATACGCATTATTATATTATGAGGGTACAACACGATTGCAAACGTTTTACCTTTTTTTATAACATGATTGCGAACGAATATCGCTTATCAAAAAATTTGTTTTTTTAGCTGAAAAACGAACGATTGCGATCGTTTTTATAGGCTACGTTGCTAATTTTATATTTTCTGAGTATATTTTATTTTGTTTGAGAATTCAATTAATTTTTTTTTTAAATAAAAACTATTCGATATTAATAATACTATTTTAGATTATAGCTACGTTACAAACTAAAATAAAATTATATAAAATAATATATGTTTAAAATTTTGATTAATTACAATAATTTTGGAGTATAAATATTAATATACTGTTACATAATATATAAACTGAAAAAAATAAAAATAATAGTTTTTAAAATGTTTTTCTACTTTTTTTTTCTTTTTAAAAAAGTATAAAATTAGATCTTTGTGGATCTTATTAATTATAATTATTAAAATATATTAATGTTGATTCAATTTAGGATTTATCTTTTTTGGCCATAGATTTATATAAATTGTTTTGATAGCGTAATAGCAGAATACCCTTATACTCTACTATTTAATTATTTAAAAAATTATTATTTAAACATTTATAATTGATTAACATAAAATCGTGTTATAGGAAATACTTCATTCGCAATCGTATATCACCCATATTATACTACTTATTTTATGATATAGCTGTAATATGAACGTACAGGTTTATACTGCAATCATATCATAAAATATTCTAATTCTAATAACTTAAAAATGAACATTACTATTTTAATTTTTTTAGTAAACAATAAAATATGCACTTGCAAATATTATAAAGTATACAAAGAGTTAAATCAATTATCTTTTGTAGGTATTTATAATTAATCATAATAATTATGGTTTCAAATAGTTATTGCTAATATTTTTTGACTTTAAATAAATATTTTTATTACATTATATTGGTTAACGGTTTTCATCTCAACAATATTCTGGCCATCACAGATAAATAATTGTTTGACTTTCTTCTACCACTTTACTTATAAATTAATATTTTTAATTTTTTACTGAACAATACATGTTCCATTATTTTAATAAAACTAACAAAAAGTTCTTTTTTAAAAATTTTGATCATTATACCAAGTATTAAATAACCAATAAAATACATGTTGAATCTAATTATAAAAGATGAAATTTTTAACGAGTAATTAAGTATACTAGTCGTATATACTTGAGAAACACATACAACACAAAAAATAATTTTTGAATTTGAGTAAAAGTAAACATAAAAAGGTGAATACTATAAACCAATTATTTTCTTTTGAATTTATAAAATGTCATAATAATAATAGTTTCAAACATTTTTACTAATATTTACTTAATTTTGCTCACTGTAGATATTTTGATAAAATATATACGTATATTAATATTTTACAGGTATGTTACAATATGATATGTTATAAATAATAAAACAATTATTATAATTAACTTTTAGCATCAATATTTAATAACTAAACCTTTGTACTAAAAGAAATCTCCAACTTCTCTAGGCTTTAGAGCTAATAAGTTTTACGTTGCAACACAAGGTATCAGGTATAATATTATATTAGTCTTTAATTAAGCACGTAGATAATTTATACCGAATAATTTAATTTATGTATTAAGTGTTTAATTAAAATAAATATTAACACATACCTTTCTGAACCGAATTACTAGATTTGTCCTTTTATCACAACAATTTAGATATTTTAATTTTTTTACTTAAGCGATTCTATTTTTCAAATAACGTTTTAATAAAAAAAAAAAATAAAATAAGAAAAATAAATCGACGATACGAATTGCACTGACGGTACTAATACGTAATGTTTTCATCTACACATTGAAAATATACTGTTTTTATAGTTTTTATATCAGAGAGTTGTTCGGTAAAATAATAAAAATAACCTTTGTGTCATCGTGTAACATAAAGAAACATTTAAGCAATCGTCACTAATCAGTAACTTTTTTATAAAAATATGTCACGTACACTATTTTTGTAAAAACAAGTTTAAAATATATTCAACTATTATTCAGTTATCATTGTAATGACATAGTATAAAATACTTCCCAAATAATTATAGATACTATAATTATTAAATCAAATTTATTTATCATTATTACTTAATACTAATACACTTAAGTATAAAAATTAAAACGTAATTATTAGTCATTTATAGTAATTTTAATGTTTAGCTTTTAAAAAAATTTGTTTATGAAAATAATATTGTATACGCATAATAACAATTTAAAATTCAATCACATCACAAAAATAAATTCAACCTATGGTATTACTAATACTGTATAAAAGTAAAATACATTACTTTAATAGCAATATATATATATTTATACAGACCACTTTCATTTAAAATTATTTTCCGTGTACAATAATATATCATTGAATTTAAATTTTACATACCCGTTACAGTAACTCATTAAATATATACAGTACAGCAAATCAATAGCCTAAATTCAACATTTTTTCAATTATTTGTTATAATAGTTACAAATAAACTGGGAATAGGTAATTTATAAGCAAAGTATTAATAACATTAAATTCGTTACCAGAAACTATTGTCACTTTAACTTTGAAATTATGATTAAAACACATTGGATGAAAAAAAATTTTATAAACATACCTCAACGTGGCGTTTATACATTCTTAGAGTAAAAATATCATAGATAATGTATTTTAAGATTGAAATTTTTGAAATACGTATTATATTATGCGTATTCTGCGTATTAACTGATTATTAATAAAATTAAATCTATCATCACATGCTCTCTAAATACGTAGTGTGATAATTTTATAGTAAATTGTTAAAACTACGTTATTTTTATATATATATTATAAATAATAATAACACTTTTATTATTTAATAAAATATAAATACAGTTGAATATACCTATACTAAAGATACAATTTAAAACTAATTTCGTCTTTTATTACAACAAATAATGTTTGAATAATGAAAAAGGACACATACAGCATAATTGAGCATATATATTTTATTAGGTCAAGAAAAATGTAAGTAACAAGAAAAATTAAAATATTCATGAAAAAATTATAAGACCAACATCAGTCTATTGTTAAGTATTCAAATACTTTTTTTTTTTTAATCTAGGAAATTATACAATCTGTACAAAGAAAAAAAAATTACAATAAGCATAAATTATGGTTATATTTAATTATAGTTTATGAGCTTGAATATCTTGAGGGAAGAACCAACCAGCGAAGGCACTTCGGCGTGAATTTACAATTTATTTATAGTTTTATGATTTGATTTTTTTTTTTTTTTTAAATTTATAAGATCTTGAGACCATTGTCGCTTGAGTATTCTAGGGGGATTCCCAGGGATGGAGATGAATAGTAACTTTTTAACATGAGGGTTTGTGTGGTTATGAAGGCGGTTTCTGAATTTGGAGTAAAATAATTTGGCTGTTTCAGTGACTTTAGGAATATGGAGATCTGTGTGAAGGGTGTGATTAGAAATATAAGGAGGACAATTGGTTATAAGTCTGAGGATTTTGAATTGAAACACTTGAATTTTTTGAATATAACCATATTGGTTTAAGGAGAAGATTATATATGTGAATTTTGGTTCGGAGGGATAGTTTTGAGAATTTATCAAGGATGGATCTGAGAGCGTAGAGTCGTTTGTTTAGTTTTATTTTTGTTACTGAATGTGTTTAGCCCACGTTAGATGTTTGTCAAAAATAAGACCTATATATTTAGCTATATTGGAGTTTAGTATAGGTTTGTTGTTTATTTGCATTGGAGGAGGTTGGCTGTGGCGGAGAGCAAAGGTAGTGTGTACAGATTTACTTTCGTTTATTTTGACACGCCAGTGAGAGTACTAGTATGATAGGTTATTTAGGTGGTTTTGGAGAGAGGTTGAGACTAAGCCCGGGTCGGTGTGATAGGAGAATATTACTTTGTCGTCGGCATATTCGGCAATTTGAGTATTCGGATTGGTGGGCTGATCTGCCGAGTATAAGTTAAATAGTGTTGGAGATGCTACTGCGCCATGAGGAACGCCGGCTAAGATTGGAGAGATACTGGAGTGATGTATTCAAATACTAATCTTTAAATACTTCTCGACCAATGTATTTTTGAATAATTAAAAAGTATTTTTTATTTATATTTTTATTCTAGAATATTAAATACTTTTTTTCATTGTAGTGTTTAACATCAAATTCTAATTACCAACTTTTCGTAATGTACTATTTTAGATTTTATTCCTAAAATATTATTCTATAATGGTTCTAACTTTTATTTATAAATAAGGTTAACTAACTATCTACATATAATTTTAATTATATATGAATTATTAATAAAAATAAATATTTCAGTATAAAATGTATTTAACTAAAAAAAAGTATTTGTTTAAGAATTTTGTATACTTTTAAAAAGACATATTTGAATGCATATTTTAGATAAAAATGGTACCAAATATTTAAATACGTATTCTGAATACATTTGAAAAGTTTTAAACAAGACTGACCAGTGTATAGATGAATATTAAAATGTATGGAAATTATATAAATTGCATCAAATAAAACAAAAATAAAAATAGGTATTTATTTTCTGAAAAACTAATGAAAAAATTCTGTTAATTAAAATTTTGATTTAGACTTTTAATCATTTAAAATACAATATTTACTATAAAATATAAGAAGAAAATTTAAAATATCTTAAATCAGGAAATTAAGATTTTCTAAGAGTATCTTAATTAATTATAAGGTCTACCAACCCAAAAGACATTTCAGTACACACTTACCTACAAATGAAAATACAACTAGAGAAAATAATATAATAATTTATTAAGTATAACACTTCCTTAGTTAAAATTATTTAACAATGAACCTAATGAATAATGAATTTAAATTTTAAATTTTAAAATGTTTGGTAGGTAACAACTGATAAGTCACTACTGATTATAAAAAAAAGTGTAGTCATTTTTATTACTATATATTATAAAACAATGACTTGAGACACCATTAATATGTAAAATATTCAAAAAAAAAAATAACAAATAACCAAAATGTAAAATATTTAATATTATTTACTATTTAATACAAATAAATTATCGTAATGCACTCACAATAAATTTGTCATCGGAAAAATTGTGGTACTACTAAAATGTTTTAAAAATTAGCACCTCAAATTTATGAAATCGGTATCACCTAATCTTCTCTACATCTTCATTATAAGTAAATATACTGAAGAGGAAGAGGATAATCGCTATTATACTACCTTTGGGAAAGGTATATGTGTCATAATAAAATAGGTATGTAATGTTTTCAGAAGCACCGTAACTGCGCAGTAAAATACAATTATGCATGCTTTATCCATTGAAACATGAATCTGTTTGATTTTTAAAAATACGATGAAATAGAATATGAAAATAATCCTAAAAATAAAATAATTCGTATAATCGTCTGTGTAATATTGCCATTTTTATTAATATTATACTATATTGTTTGTCAAATTAAGTTAATTGACTAAATTTTCTCATTAGTTAGATTAAATATTTAATATATACTCGTATACATGTATAGTTCTATAAATTATGTAAATATTTTTACTAATAATAAATTGATACCTTTGGACATTGATACTTATTGCAAATACTCGACAAATATTTGGATTAAGAGTTCATTCATCACTATGCTGCGTATCAAAATTTTTTTTTTTTTATATAAAACCATTTTTTAAATTATCCTTTTGAGTTTGTATTATATGATATTTATAAAGATTAAGTGCCTAATGCAGTAATTCCAGTAGTTTTTATTTTTTCAAAATAATATACTTTGCTTCATTCTTCATATTAACTATATGAATTTTGTAGCGCATAATTCTAACTTATGATTATTTACACTTATCGGCATGAATGGTTACCAACTTGGTAATAGCTATAACATAAATAGTAATAATTAAGATATGATATCTCAATGACAATTTATGATAATATACGTTATACCACTATACCCAATACTTATCTGATTTATAATGATTTTATCCTCGTCATATCATCGTTATGCGTTAAAAATGTTGAAATAAGTTTAGTGTATACAAAATATACTTTATAAAGTACACTAATAACGAAACTCAATATATCTTAATAAGTTATTTAAACTTAGTCCGGGGTATACACAGCGTTTTCCACTGCGTTTTGTACTCTGCATATTTTGTGACATTTTCCGTTACCAGTCTAAACTCTTTTTAATTTAAAACAATGTAAAATTAGAAGTTCACGTTTTTTATTATTTTGGAGTTCGTCTGTTAAGACACAAGCTCACCGATGTTTTCCACCGCGATAAAAACGCCACGTATCATATCCTGCGTGTAAAGCTACTCCATTACAAAACAATACATTTTAAATTCGATGGAAAATACTGTGAAAAATGTACAGCGTCAGCCTCATGTTATAAATTATGGTATACTTACTACGTATGTGTGTATGTTTATAACTATATATTCATAACTGAACATCTATGAATTTAATATTTTTATTTATAAATTTAAAATTAATATTCTGTTGATTTTTAACATTATCTTTTATTTATTTTCATTAGCAGAATTCATTCGCATGTAAAAATCGATCTACATAAATGATAAATAATAAAAATTGTAATACTTAGAGTGTGTTGGATTGTTGAAGTAAACAAATAACCCAATTCGGCAAGAAAAAATTGACAATTCTATTTTGTTCTCTTCGGTGTTACTTATTTTTTAACCAATACTCTAGAGGAAATGTCACATCATTTTTAGATTCTGAGTGAAGTAATTAATGTATCGATTTTACAAATATTATGTGTATTTTTTGTGTGTATGTAGGTA